AAACCCCAGCAGACCCATTCACACACATGCACAATCATCTCCCTAAAATCGCTTACATTTTTCTCATTTTTACACAACACATGCATATCATTCTGTTTCTTTTAACTCTTTTCAAAATGTTCCTGTTTAAATTAGTTTTCCTTATTTTGTTCTCTGACATCCCTTCATCCCAAGTACTGTAATCCCATACTCAACTTCAGCTCTTATGATGAGACGGGCAACCATAGTGCTCATCCCATCTTCCTTCTCTGACCACATATAAAGTATTCTGTTTGGGCCAGGGCCAAAAATTTTATTTCCATACAATTTGTCTCTCATTTCTCTGTTTTAGCTTTTCCCCATGTTTTAGAATTTACAAGTTGTGGTGCCTTACTCTCAATTATTTCCATAGCTTAACATCAAAATGTCCCCTTATGGCTGTTACATTGCTTGTCACACTTCATCCATCCTTCTCAAGTAGATAGCTGTTCCTCTAGCTGTTTAATCTGCATGATTCTTAGTCCCTGTGGACTTGGTAACCCTGTTACCCATTGTGGATCTCTGTCCACTTAACCATTTATCTAGGGGCTCAGAATAGGCATAACCGTACCTTCGGTTCTCTAGCACTCCTCTTGCGCTGGGAATTTTCTCAGGGTACCCTCTTACCTTTCATTCCCTTAAAACTTAATATAATGCCCATAATGCCTGGCCAGGCTTATTTTCTCTTCTCTACATGTGCCTATACCCTCTTGCATCTAGATCTATTACAGCAGATGTGTACTTCATATCACCTGTTAACCAGCACTATTCTTCCTTTTCTCATCTATAACACTCCAATGGACAGTAGACAGTGACAATATAACATATAACCACCAATCAATACAGTTCGATTAGAGGCGTAAAATAGGTACCCATTCTCCTGAAAATGCCTTGCCGATCAAGGAATTCCGATATCTCAAAATGTAAGCAAAGGGCTTACCTCAGCCTTCTGATTTTCAGAAATTCCCAGATTGTCTCAGGCTCCTCGTTTCAGGTTCTCCGGGGTCACCTTTAAATCCCATCCAAGGCAAAGTTTGCCATCTGTTTTGGACATTAATACTGAAAATTTTATAGATAGGCAACTCCTATCCTCATATTGATTAGAGGTTCCAAATTAATAACTACTGCAATAGGGAACAGTCACAAAAAGATACACTCAGCATCTTTCCACATCACTGTTCTGTTTATTCGGCAAGTTGGAAGTTTTTTTATACACATGATTATGTAGGTATCACGTTAATGTTACAATTGTCCATTTATAGTAACAAGGGGCATTATATAGTTAAGCTAATTTCTAATCAGGACTTGAAGGAATGCAAGCCTAATGACACCACCTCCTGACGCCGGGCCTTCAGCGCCCCCTGACGCCGGGCCTTCAGCGCCCCCTGACGCCGGGCCTTCAGCGCCCCCTGACGCCGGGCCTTCAGCGCCCCCTGACGCCGGGCCTTCAGCGCCCCCTGCGCCGGGCCTTCAGCGCCCCTGCCGCCGGGCCTTCAGCGCCCCCTGCCGCCGGGCCCTCAACGCCCCCTGTCGCCGGGCCCTCAACGCCTCCCGACGGACCTCCAGTACCCCTGACGCCGGGCCCACATCGCCTCCTATCACCGCGTCCCACGGCTTGTCCAGCCGCCGCACCACTGTGCCCACCGACGCCATGCCACAACACCCGCGGATGCAGGCTTACAGCACCCACAGACTGCAACCAGCCAGCTGCAGCCCCAGCCGCCCCCACCACTCCTTCTCCCCTCCTACCATCGGTCACTGATGAACTCCGACATGGCATAACGGACTCTCCCCATCCTCATGCCCTGACCGAAACCTCCCTCCTCTCCGACCCGATCAGAATTCTGCCCACCCTAGCATGCCACCTGCACTCCTCCTCGTTCTCCTCTCCTCCATCCCCAAACGTGCCTCCCTCTACCCCCCTACTCCCCCAAAACACCTCTACATCGCACCCTCACTTCTTCCCTCCCCCATCTACGGCTCTCACCACCTCCTCCTATTACTCCACTCCCCCGCCGACCCACAAGCCACCACCAACCGACCCACGCGCTCCTGCACCTCCTGTTCCCATCATACCCTCCTCACCCTCCTCCTTCTCCTAACCGCCGGTGACATCTCCCCAAACCCTGGCCCTCCATCTCCCCACTCCCCCACCCGGCACCCCCCTACTCACGCCAACCACCGCAACCCCCTCAATCTCATATCTGTCCCCCTCCTCCCCACATCCATCCCTCCCCTCTCAGTTGCACTCCTGAACGCCCGTTCGGTTTGCAACAAGCTCACCGCCATCCATGACCTCTTTGTCTCCCACTCCCTCAACCTTCTACCGGTTACTGAAACCTGGATCCAAGCCACTAACTCCACCTCCACTGCTGCCCTCTCCTATGGAGACCTCGTCTGGACCCATTCAACCAGACTGAGCGGAGAGGCGGAGGGGTCGGTATGCTCCTACCCTATCCCCTCACAGCTCCTCCAGTCACCCCCCCCCCTCCATCATTCGCTCCCTCACCCACATCTTCAATCTCTCCCTCTCCACCGGCACCTTCCCCTCCCCTCCAAAGCACGCACACATCACCCCCATACTCAAAAAACCCTCCCTTGACCCCACTAACCTTAACAACCTTAGACCCATCTCCTTGTTGCCCTTCACTTCCAAGCTCCTTGAGCGCCTGGTCTACAATCGCCTAAGCGCCCACCTCACTGATAACAACCTCCTTGACCCCCTACAGTCTGGCTTCTGCCCCCTGCACTCCACCGAAACCGCCCTACTTAAAATCACCAATGACTTGCTAACTGCCAAAGCCAATGGCTACTATTCTATCCTCCTGCTCCTCGACCTCTCCGCGGCCTTCGACACTGTTGACCACCCTCTCCTCCTTGCCAAACTGCACTCCCTTGGCATCAAGGATGCTGCTCTCTCCTGGTTCACCTCTTACCTTTCCCAACGCTCCTTCAGCGTCACCTACAGCACTGCCACCCTCCCCCTCCCTCCCCCTCTCTGTCGGAGTCCCCAAGGCTCTGTCCTTGGGCCCCTCCTCTTCTCCATCTATACCTCCTCCCTTGGCAAACTTATTCACTCCCACGGCTTCAATTACCACCTCTATGCCGACACCCAAATTTTACCTCTCCACCCCCCACCTCACCCCTTCACTCTCTGCCTGCATCGCCCACCTCCTAAACGACATATCAGACTGGATGTCGCTCCATTTCCTCAAACTTAACCTATCCAAAACCGAGCTCCTGGTCTTCCCCCCACCCCGTGCCCCCCCCCCCCCCCCCCATCCTCTCCATCACTACTAACAATGCCACCATCTCTCCCACCCCACACGCCAAAGTCCTGGGTGTCACCCTGGACTCCCACCTCTCCTTCCTACATCCAACTGCTATCTAGATCTTGCAGGGTCCACCCTCCGCAACATCTCCAAGATACGCACATTCCCCACCCCAGACACCACCAAACAACTCGTACACTCCCTCATCTCACGCCTGGACTACTGCAACTCCCTTCTCACTGGCCTACCCAAACGAATGCTATCCCCACTCCAGTCGATCCTAAACTCAGCGGCCAGACTCATCCACCTCACCAAGCGCTCCACATCTGCCTCCCCCCTCTGCCAATCCCTTCATTGGCTCCCGATTGCCCAGCGCATCAAGTTCAAGCTGCTAACCCTGACCTGAAGGCCATTCACAATGCCGCGCTGAACTACATAACTGACCTGATACCCAGATACCACCCTACCCGTGCCCTCCGCTCCTCACAGGACCTCCTGCTCTCTAGCTCCCTGGTCTCCTCCTCCCACGCCCAATTGCAGGACTTCTCCAGGACTTCCCCCATCCTCTGGAACTCCCTACCCCAATCCATCAGACTGTCACCTACCCTCCTCACCTTCAGGCACACCCTGAAAACCCTCCTCTTCAGGGAAGCCTACCCCAACCTCACCTAACACCCGACCTCACCTAACAACTAACCTCCTGGTCTCCTCCACAACTAACCTCCTCCACTCCACCCACCACTCCATCCCCCACAGCCATCTCCTCCTGTACCACATTCCCCTCCCTCCTAGATTGTAAGCTCGAAAGAGCAGGGCCCTCAAACCCCCCGTGTAGTGTATTGTTACTGTCTTGTCTCATGTTATGTCCCCCTTGCTACTGTACAGTGCTGAGCATACCCTTTGGCGCTATATAAATACTGTATAATAATAATAATGAAAACATTTAGTGCCGTGTAAGGACTGCAGTGTACAATACATAGGCAATGCATACAAAATGGCATACAATTTTATACAGAATTTACAAATTTCCTTTTACAGGGACAGTGATGTGCGGGGGACTGAGGACACTGATGTAAGAACTTGATTGTGATATAAGGGAGGCTGTGATGTGAAGGATCTAAATCATCACACAAACATGCGATTCAGACCTCTGCTGGAAAAATTTTTTACTAATTGGACTTCCATTAATTTTAATTCACTGCTGTAGAAGGAAGATTCTTATACTTGCCTAATCTGAGTGTGCTCAAGTCTGGTCATGTGATCAGCTCCCAGTGGCAGCTTTAGGGGAGAGGAGGGATAGCCAACTGTAGATGCCTTATAGTAAGCGAACGGGTGACATCACCGCACAGGCATTCCAGCCATTGTTTGTGATATCTCCTCTCCCCTGAAGCTGAACACTGGTGGGGTTGTGGGACCGGAAGGGAGCACCCTCATAATAGGTAAGTGTATGTAAGTATCTTCCTTTTACAGGGAAGTTAGAATAAGATTTAGAAGGGGAGCTGGAGCAAATTTAAGCATACATGGCAATAGCCTGGAATTCCACTTAACAAAAAAAAAAGTGTTCTTTTTTTTTTTTTTTTTTTATTTCTGAAGCTTGAAGAAACAACATAACTATGACAATTTTAAGAGATCTGTTTGCGGGGTGGTGTTAGGTTTTTATTGGCATAATAAAACTTTTAAGTGTAGACTGAATTTTGTTTTCTTTTGCAGGTGCTTTCAGTTTGTGTAGAAGAAGACAACATTGTGAATTATGCTACAAAACGTTTTGCAGAATTCAGATTTGGGACTACGAATGGCTATCCGAAGCAATTTAGCAGGAGCTGAAGAGCTTTTTGCTCGAAAGTTTAATACCTTGTTTGCTCAGGGGAATTACTCTGAAGCTGCCAAAGTAGCTGCATCTGCTCCAAAGGTATCCCAGCTAAAGGTTCATCACCAGACACTAGATAATGTTAAAATGTATCCCTTTATAACATATGGCATTTTTGGTCTCTTCAGGGAATTCTTCGCACAGCTGACACCATCAGGAAGTTTCAGACTGTACCAGCTCAGCCTGGACAAGCATCACCTCTGCTACAGTACTTTGGGATTTTACTAGATCAGGGTCAGTTAAACAAGCTAGAATCATTAGAACTTTGCAGGCCGGTCCTGCAACAAGGACGCAAGCAACTTTTGGAGAAGTGGTTAAAAAGAAGATAAGGTAAGAGCCGTACCACAATTACTAGCAGTTCAATCAATGATATTTTGAGCCATTCTGACTTGTTTTACTTGTGTTTATTCAGCTTGAGTGCTCTGAGGAGCTGGGCGACTTGGTAAAGGCAGTGGACCCAACTCTTGCGCTTAGTGTTTACCTGCGTGCTAGTGTGCCAAACAAAGTGATCCAATGCTTTGCAGAGACTGGCCAATTCCAGAAAATAGTTCTTTATGCCAAAAAAGTAAGTCTTACCCCATTGCTTTTAAATTTCCTCTGGATTCATTTTTTTTTATTTTTTTATCGCGACTGAAGCTTTTTTTCCTCTTTTTGTTTCACTAGGTGGGATACACCCCAGATTGGATCTTCTTGCTTCGAAGTGTCATGAGGATCAGCCCTGATCAGGGACTACAATTTTCCCAGATGCTTGTACAAGATGAGGAACCGCTTGCTAACATTAACCAGGTAAAAGATACCCAGAGGCTTCTGTGATAATTGCAGGCCTAAATGACTTGGCTTATCACAAAGTTTATTTCATAACAAGAACAATTTAACATTACTTGAAGACATACTTTGTAGATAGCCTGGATCTTGGAGAAAGGCTTGAATGATCATATCCAGATGTCGCTGTTATGGATTTTTTTTCCTCCTATTTTTACTTTTAATTGTTCAATTATACACCCACCTATCAATAATTAAACTGTAATTATGTCTTTTCCGTAGAGTCTTGTATAATCCAATTACAGGTCATGAGCCTACACAATGTAATTATGCGTCAGTGTTCTGTGTATAATCACATCAGTAAAGGACTTGCAACTGGTTTTACTGCAGAGGTTACTATTCTGTATTTGATATCTACAGTTTATCAAAGTATAAAATGCAAAAAACACTATTGGGAAGGATATACCAGTCATTTGATCCAAAGGTAAAATCTGTTGCTATTATTTTGTTTGGTGCTGTAAGTGCAGCTACAACAGCAGGCACATTGTTTATATCCATTTATTAATCATGCATTCTGGGATCTTAGTCTTAGACAGATGGGTTTTGCAGCTACTACTGCAGGTGATTAGAAACTAGCAGACAAAAGCTGTAAGGACAACCCCAGTCTCTCCCATTCCCAGAAACCCTCAGGTTTTTTTTTACTGGTGTCCCTAGGTGTATGGGCATCTTACAGTATCTTTATGCTCTGTGAGAATCAAACTTCATTCTTTTATTTTTAACTACCCTTTTACATGACAATTTTTTTTATCAAGCCTGCAGCTGCTCATAGTCACTGTGGCTTTTATCTATCAGCTTTGTGAATCAGTTGACTTATCAGGTGCATCTTGGGGGGACCATATCCAGAGTCCTCCTGGAAGAAACCGAAGGGTGTTATACAGGTCCAGGACCGTGACACTTCCACATGTGGTGATCCTGTCCTTGAGGACCACCTTGACGGTATGTCTACTGGGAAGGCAAAAAGGTAGAGGGGACTTGTCCCTACCCTTCTAACTGCAGAGACCACAAGACACTGATAAGTTATGGCTCTGTCTCTTGATGTAAGCAACACGGTACCAGGCTGCGCCATTTTCGGGTTACAGACTTTTGTAGGATATGGCCACTTTCCTTTTGGCACCATGTTTTCTGCCTGGTCGCTGCTGTGTGGGTCTGCGGACACCTTCTGTACATGCACAGCCTTGAATGCACCAAGATTAGCTGCACTGAGGCATGACATTTTTTGTGTTTTGACTCGCATCCCTGCCACAGAAAAGTACTCCACTCCCTGCCCTCTCCTGGCTATTGCATAGCAATCCTTGGATGTTTTTGAGTTCCCTCTGCCTATAGTTGCTTCTCATAAAAGCATTTCCTCCTCCTGCTCCACAGCAAATGTAGTGAGTAACCCTTTGGGGTGGTCTTTCTTTCACCTCAGCGGTGGATCAGAGGTGCAGGGAGAAAATAGCAGTGGCCCTTGCGAGCTCACACACCACTAACAGCTTGGGGTAGGGGTAGAAGTCAGAGAAGCAGAGGAAGATGAATTCTCAGCCTCTATATCAGCTTTTATGGAAAGGCTATCTGCCCTTTTTAGAGGCTTCAGGTTATAGAGCCACAAGTAACTCCTCCGGAGTTCATCTCTATTTTTTTTTTTTGGTGGCTTCGATTCTTCTTGAAGATGAAGAGGGCAACTCACCTGACTGCTGAGACTTCTAAAGAACAGTATCTCTGTCTTTACTGATGCAGTATACCCCTGTCATGTCATGAGTCAGCCTGTATCGCTCTAGGCGAATGCTACCAGTCTTTGTTCCTTAAAAATGCCTAGATTTGTTGTGCCCCTCAACACTTTGCTCAGCAGCAGTCTATTTCAGGGGCACCACTCCAACCTTTTCATTGTCCACCAAGCAAACAAAGAGCCCCATTATAAATTTCCCAAAGGCAGATTCATGTATAATTTGCTGTTTTCTTGTTTCCAGATCGTTGATGTGTTTATGGAAAACAGTCTCATTCAGCAGTGTACTTCATTTCTGCTAGATGCACTGAAGAACAATAGGCCAGCTGAAAGTCACCTACAGACTCGCCTCTTTAGAGATGAACTTGATCCATGCTCCACAGGTGCTTATCTTCTTATTTGTTTATCATACATTAAGCCTAATACTCATATGGATTCCATTTTCAATAAATTTATAATGTCTTTTCCAAAGTGTTTTATGAGTTAATTCTGTGAAATAATAGAAGATGACCATGCTGATTGATCTTTTTAACATTTGTGTGTCTCTATCAAATGTTCACTTATTATGATAGGACACACATTGCCCAGCTGCTGATCTTCTTATTTGTTTGTCATACATAAGCCTAAGACTTCATGCACACAGACTGTTTTGAAAAGGCTCCTCCTCTTGGCAGCAGTGTTTTGGCAGAAAAAATGCCTGACTCTTGGAAAAGTTGTCTACTGCTTTTACAAGCATTTTGGCGCATTTATATGCTGCAAGCACTTAGGCAATAATAATTTAATTGGCCAGAATAATAATTTACTCTAGCCATTGAAATGAATTAACACTCAAGCGCTAAACGTGCCTAGCGCTAATTCACGTTTAGGTGCGTTTACACGTGTCAGGCATTTTTTTTTTGCCAAAACACTACTGCTCCTCGACGCACTGGCCCTGGGTTGGTTTTCCTGCTGGTAAACGCCCCTGCCACTAAAAGCTTCTAAAAGTCTATGTGCTCATAGACACATAGGATAACATGGAGGGGAGTTTGGAAGCAGTAAAAAAAAAAAAAAAAAAAACTGATATGGTTTAAATTTTAAATTAATGTATAATGTCTTTCCCAAAGTGTTTTATAGGTTAATTCTGCTGTTGAGGTTGATTTTTTATTTTATTTTTTTTTCTGTTTATCATTCTAAGGTTGCAGATGCTATCCTTGGGAATCAGATGTTCACACATTATGATAGGGCACACATTGCCCAGCTGTGTGAGAGAAGGCTGGATTGCTACAGAGAGCTTTGGAGCATTACACTGACTTGTATGATATCAAGCGAGCTGTGGTACACACGCACCTTCTAAACCCAGAGGTGAGCTGTTATAAGATGGTTATAATGATTCAACAGGAATATAAGACATGTCCTCACTGCAGGCTCACTCTGATAAACTGATCTTGGAATGGATGTGAACAGAGAAGGGAGTTGATCATCTGAAATGGGTTTTGACAATCGCCCTTGTTCCCCTGAGATAACATTAACATGAGAGGTTGCATGTTTTGTCACAATCGCGTGACATATTTACTGATCACTGTCTGTGGGTTGTTTCAGTAAACCTGTGTAATGCTGCTCTTATACTGATGTATTTAATCACATATTTTGAAACTGAGGAGGATTGTTGCGTCGTCCTTACTGAATTTGATAATAATGTTATGCCTTTGAGAAGTAGCAGATAGCCTCAACTAAGGATTCTCAGGGAACTAGTGAATTTGTGTTGCCTCTGAGTGAAGGATGTGCTAGGTAGGACAAGAAGAGTGTGGATGTTAAGCTATCTTGTTTAGACATAGTTCATATTCAACATATTCAGCTGCCAGCTATTGTTTAAAATACCTTTACCTAGGTTAACACAGTCACCAGGAGTTAGTATATTTTTGCTTGTGTCTTTTACCAGGAATTTCTTTTTTCTTTTTTTAAAATTAGTGGTTAGTGAACTTCTTTGGCTCGTTGTCAGTGGAGGACTCCGTAGAGTGTTTGCGAGCTATGCTGTCAGCCAATATCCGACAGAACCTTCAGCTCTGTGTCCAGGTGGCATCTAAGTACCATGAACAGCTGGGCACCCAGACTTTGGTTGAACTCTTTGAATCCTTCAAGAGTTATGAAGGTATGTTCATATGATCATATACTGTTATAGTTGTATTAGAGGCATAAAGCCCCACCAGGTTCTGACTCTGTACCATGTCTAAAAATGCATACAAACCTAAAGCTACACATTATAATCTGATCATAAAATCTCTGTACAATTAGCTTTAGTTTTACCATATCAATGTAATATGAGAACCTACCTCAACTATCCAATCAATCTGTATCCTGTCAAGGTAGCCCCTGCACTATATAGTTATTGGTAGATCTAAAGGAGATTATATTGTCTGTAAATAGAGACAAGTAGAGAACCCTAAGCCTGTGAAGGTAAACTACCTCTGTATGCTTCGATGTGTGGAAGTTCATGAAAAAACCTAGCCTTAGAGATGTAGAACAGCTGCTACTCCCAAACTGTCTGAAAATGTCAGTGATGATTTTGTCACTTCCAGGGAAGCAGCTAATCAAGCATGATAAGTGCTTGATTAGCTGCGTTGGAGGGAAGAGGAAACACTTGAGGGTCTAAACTTCCTCTGATGTTTCCATAAAGAGTACCTGTCAGCTGCCCAAAGCTATCACATAGGGTGCTTGTTGCCCCCCTTATGATAGCAATAAAGTCAAATGAAAAAATTTGTATATGTCAACATGGAATGCACCACACAAGGTTACCTGCAGACATTGAAGTGAGAGAGATAATTCTAGGGCCATCATTTATGAAAACTCTACACTATTCACTTGTAAAGGCTTTAAAACATCACCTAAAATATTTTTAGGTATTCTAGTTTGGTACCATTTCACACGCACAACAGTGCACACAAAATTTTAATTCTTAACGTGTTTAGTATCCATTTACTCAACACAACATCATCTTATTATATTTGGTGTATGGTATGTTTGTGTGCACTAAATTTATTTTAGTGTATTCTTTCCTGACAATTTGCGATTAATAAATGGCTTTGCAGATATCATACAGCATAAAAAATTGCAACAGCTACCATTTTATTGAGTCATTTTCTAGCAAAAATGCTGATTTAACATTTGTGTGAAAAATTTGTCCCAGACAGCAAGTGGGGTAAAAAAAAGCTCCCAAACCCCCCCCCCCCCCACATACATTTATAAAGTGCAGTGTAGTTTATACATGTGCATTGCACTCTGTTGGCCTCAGGAGTCTCTGTTAAACAAAGAGAACTCCATAGAGCTCTGCAGGTACTGCACTGCAGTCTGCATTTTATGAATGAGCCATAAAATGTGGTCCGTGAGGTAAAGCTTGTAGTGCTGAGTAACCTAGCTTAAGTATAAGGAGAGTGGATAGCATTACCAACTCTCTGCTGTCAGTTCCAATAGATGGGCATGAAAGCAACTCAATCTACATTTTTAGAAATGCAGGTGAGCAGTTGCAGCCTTTGTATTTCTCTCAGCATATTTGCATTGTTCTTTTTGTTTTGCCCTTACTGTGAAGTAATGCTTTACTAGGAGGTAATCATCAATTTGTTCCAGTGGTTATTTTAGGTTTAACCACTTGACCTCCAGAGCATTTACCCCCCTTAATGACCAGGCCTCTTTTTGCTACTCGGCGCTGCACTAATTCAACTGATAATTGCACGGTCATGCAATGCTGCACCCAAACGAAATTTACGTCCTTTTTTTTTTTCACACAAATAGAGCTTTCTTTTGGTGGTATTTGATCACCTGTGCGCTTTTTATTTTTCATGCTATAAAACAAAAAAAGGCCAAACATTTTGAAGAAAAACAATATTTTTTACTTTCAGCTATAAAAAAATATATAGTAAACTCAAAGTTGGTTATAAATTTAGGCCAAAATGTATTCTGCTACATGTTTGTGGTAAAAAAAAAAATCCCAATAAGTGTATATTGATTGCTTTGTGTGAAAGTTATAGCGTCTACAAACTATGGTATAGATACTGCAATTTAAGCAATTTTTTTGCTATACAGCGCTGCGCTAGTTTAACGGACAATTGCGCAGTCATGCAATACGGTACATAAATGAAATTTACATCCTTTTTTTTTCCCCCACAAATTGAGCTTTCTTTCGGTGGTATTTGATTGCCTGTGCAGTTTTTATTTTTTGCGCTATAAAAAAAAGGCTGACAATTTTGAGGAAGAAAAACAATATTTTGGACTTTTTGCTATAAAACTTGTCCAGTAAAAAAAAATTTAAAAATCAAATTTAGTCATAAATTTCTGCCAAAATGCATTCTGCGACATATCTTTGCTAAAAAAAAAAACCCAATACGTGTAAATTAGTTGGTTTACGTGAAAGTTATAGCGTTTACAAATGGCGGGAAAGATACTGGGATTTTTAGTTTTTTTTTTTTTATACTAATAATGGCGGCGATCAGTGACTTATGGCGGCGATCAGTGACTTATGGCAGTGACAATCAGCGACAGCGACTTATGGCAGGACTGTGGCGGACATTCTGACATTGGGGGGTACTGACTTGGGGTCACTGACAACCCCAGTGACACCAATACAGTGATCAGTGCAAAAAAAAAAAAAAAAAAAAAAAAACACCAACACTGTACTAATGGCACTGGGGAGGAAGGGGTTAAGTTTATATTTCAGGGAAAGGGTTAACTGTGTGAGAGGAGTGTTTTACTAGGGGACGGGGGTGTGTACTGCAGGGAACACCGCTGATCGGAAGAGAGAAACTCTTCTGTCCCAATCAGCGTGTTCTGGAGCTGTCAGGGAACTGACAGAAAGCACAGCTACTGCAGCTGTGCTCTCTGTCAGCGATTGCCGCCGATCGCTGGGACATAGCCGGTAACGACCGGCTGTGACCCGGCGACTGACATCCGCGGCTGTGATCGGCGGGACAGGTAGGGCGGCGGCGCGCCTCGTGCATGCCCCCTACCTGTTTACAAAACACACGTTTTAAAACGTGCTTTTGCCCAGCCGTGCCGCCCTGCCACCGTATTTATACAGTGGCTGGGCGGCATGTGGTTAATATGAATCACACAGGGGCATTATATTCACTCTGACTATGGTTACCCTTGTTGCTTTGTATTGCTTGTGTGTTTTTAATTCCTTCCTGAATAATGAGAGATTGTCAAGGAAGTAACTTGTGTAAAACTATTTAATAGCCATCTTAAAGCTGACTTCTAGAAAGTTATTAAAGACACTAATTAAAGCATGTCTGTAGTCAATAAATCATTAAATGTCTTTTGAAAAGCAAGCAGTTTAAGTATCTGAATTTTATCTGGAATCAACTTCTTGCTGTCCCTGCGCAGCAGAGCTCAGGCTCGAGAGGGAGAAGCAGCATGAGGCATCAGTTATCCTTCAGTGCTCATTCAGATAGATAGATAGATAGAGAGAGCGAGCCAAGTGACACCATACAGATGTTCTGGCCAGGATTTGAATCATGGACTCCAGTGCTGCAAGGTAGTCATTGTGTAGCCCCACAAACAACCTTATCTTTATTGTATAAACTATTAGTCCCATCGATTCAATCCGTAAGATTACCAAAGGCAGACACGCTTGAAGTCCAGCCTGTGTGACAACCAGGGCTGCCTCCATAGATACAGTGGAGAAAAAAGCCATAAACATGAAGAAACAGGGCATGTTTTATTTGCAGGATAACAGAAGTGGAAAAAAAAATGTCTTAAGGACTGCCAGCCTGCAACACATTTGCATTTCTGGGGTTTATATATGTTCAAATATATGCTAGAAACCTCTTTAATGATATGACAAACAACCATTCTTCTGCCTTTAAAAAGTAGTTGTCCCTACAGCATTAGGATATAACTAGTAGTGAAACTATTTTCTGAATTTGCATTGCTCTATATTTGAGGACATATTTTGTTGAACTCCTTTTGGCGATGAACCTGCTTATAATAAGTGTTCAACTCCTTTTGCTTTAGAGCAAAGTTAGTTTGATAAATATTAATGTGGTTGTAAACCCTTACATATACCCAGCGAAAGTGGCTAGCTTCAGGTGATAAGAGAGATGAAACAAATCTTCCTACATAAGTTGTACCTGTCTGCTGTCTTCTCTTCACTACAGATGTTCAAAGTTTGGAATTTATACAGACTGTCTGAGCTTCTAGAAAGCAATGGGTGGGGAGCTGAAGTTAATTCTGCAGAGCTCAATGAGGAGAGCTGATTGGAGGGAAGGGACACACCCCTTTTCACCCAGCACACAGGACAGAGATGAGGCTGTCAATCACAGCCTGTGTGCTGAAGTTCCTTCCCCTGTCACCTCTTTTCTCTTGGTGTCAGAATAACCTGCCAAAAAGTGACTTATGCTGATAGCAGAGAGAAAGGGGGCAGCACAGAGAAATGACAGTGCCCTGGATTGAGATACACTATAGAGGGATATGCTATGTTCATATTTCATGTCTGAGGTTTACATTCACTTTAAAAAGATGTCCTTAAATACATTATTTGTTTCTTTATTAGATAAAATGCTGTTTGATTGCTGAGTGACAACTGACATTAGTTTGAAACTTCATATATTACTGTCCATAAGTGCCAATTGTGGAGATACTTGCAAATGTCCATTTTCTTTTTAGGGCTTTTCTACTTTCTGGGATCTATTGTCAATTTCAGTCAAGATCCTGATGTGCACTTCAAGTACATCCAGGCTGCCTGCAAGACTGGACAAATCAAGGAGGTTGAGCGGATATGTAGAGAAAGCAATTGCTACAATCCTGAACGTGTTAAAAACTTCTTGAAGGTACATCCACCTCTGAGTTCACTTCCTTCTGCACAATCAAAGTATTATTCATACATACTGTAAAACCATAGTTGCCAGAAACGTGTTGGGTAAAGGTGCATTTGCAGTCATCTATATTTTTGTTACCAAAGATTTCACAATGTATTACTGCAGATGCCCAACTGATACATACAAGTATAAGTGTGTGTGACTGTCAGCAGTGTGTAGAAATGGATTGGTAACCTAACATCTTCATTACTTGTCTTGGAACAGCTTTACAACCATATCCTGTCAAGTTGCTTTCATAGAATCTATTTTGGCATGTATGCCAGATGATATAGAAAATAAAAAACTGACATCAGGCTTCGTTAGCCAGCGTATCAGCAAATGGCTGAATCTCTGAACCATTTCCTCTTTTCAGGGGGACACGCCAGGGATGTCCATTATCCCACCTTCTATATGCTTTGGCTGCAAACCACTTGCAATATCCATCAGATCTAACTTCTCCATATGGGGACTACAAATGGGTCTGTTTCTCTGTTGAGACTAATGGAATGTATGCTGATGATATGCCCCTTTATTGGGAGGATCATAGTCCCTAGATACAGGCCACTTTGCAAACTTTCAAGCAATTCCAGGAATACTCCAGTCTAAAAATTGATTGGAACAAGTCCCAAATGCTTTGCATTGATACTTTTTCACCCATGGTAGAACTAGTATCTCTTCCCTTGGCCAGAGTTTGCTTGTTAACGTATTTGGGCATACACTTTGCCAGATTACCTTCAGATAATCTATACAAAACAATCTGTAGCCATGGACTTTTTTAGCGGGACATATAGGTCAAAGAACAGCACTTTGTATGTAAAACCATAATGTTTATTGTTACATCAAAATAAAATGGAAAATGAAAAATCACAACATTAAAATATGTCTGTTTTGGGGTTAACACAAATGTTTTGAATGCAGTGTGATCTACATGTAAATCTGAAGCGTTTAGAATGATCTCCCCAAGGAGCACATGTGAATAATGTCAGCATAATGGAACCCACAATTAAACACAAGGGTACAAGATAAGCTGGAATCCACATGGTGTGACACATCCTTTTTACACAGGAGAATTTTTAAGTGTAACATGGGGTGACACTGTGTTCAAACAAGTCTGAAATCATCTTGGAAAATCTAAAAAGTTGTATAGGGGCACCCTTAATTGTCCAAAATCATGTATTTATAATGTTAGCATCATCAAAAAGTGTGATCATAAGAGTCCTTGATATACCAAGTAAGATATCATTCGGCTCCCAAATCCCTAAAAGGAGACTCAAGGCTTATCCATACAAGTTCAGTCAAGGAAGTGCTTAGATTATCATATCTGGTATGTTTCCTGCAGAGTCCAGCAGCATGCACTTCCTTGATTGAACTTGTATGGAGAAGCCTTGAGACTCTTATTAGTGGTTTGTTTTTTGTCTTATTTGGTCCATCACGGACTCTTGTGATAACACTTTTTGATAACACTGACCTTATAAATACAGGATTTTGGTCAGTTAAGGGTGCCCCTACACAACGTTTTAGATGTACCCAGATGGTTTGAGACTTGTTTGACCACAGTTATACATAAAAAATCTCCTCCTATGAGAAAAGGATGTATCACACCACGCAGATTCCATCTTTTCTTGTGCCTTTGTGTTTTTAAAATTGTGGGTTCCATCATGCTGATACTATTCACATGTACTCCTGAGGAAGATCATTTGAAACACTTCAAGTTTACATGAGGATTACACTGGTTTCAGTACATTTGTGTGTACCCCAAAATAGACCAATTTTAATGTAATTTTTTTTTCTCTTCCATTTTATATTGATGTATCAGTAAACTTTATGGTTTTACATATACAGTGCTGTTCTTCGATCTATCTGTCCCTCTTAAAAAAAAAAAAAAAAAAAAAAAAAAAAAAGGCCATGGCTACTGATTGTGTTTTGTATAGATGAGGGTTTCATGGAACCCTGCGGCTCCTACAGAGGTTGCTAGATGTTCCTTGAGCAATAAGTAATGCCTGCCTTTTGGAAAAGTTCCCACTAACACCATTGATCCTCTTAACTACACTATATTGCCAAAAGTATTAGGACACCCCTCCCAATCCTTAGATTTAGGTGTTCCAATCACTTCCATGGCCACAAGTGTATAAAATCAAGCACCTAGCAATGCAAACTGCTTCTACAAACATTTGTGAAAGAATCGGTTGCTTTGAGGAGCTCAGTGAATTCAAGCCTGGTACCGTGATAGGTTGCCACCTGTGCAATAGGTCCATCCGTGAAATTTCCTTGTTTCTAAATTTTCCACGGTCAACTGTTAGTGGTGTTATAAAAAGTGAAAGCAACTGGAAACAACAGCAACTCAGCCACGAAGTGGTAGGCCACATAAAATGACAGAACTGGGTCTGCTCATGCTGAAGGGCACAGTGTTCAGAAGTCACCAACTATCTGCAGAATCAATAGCTAAAGACCTCTAAAGTTCGCGTGGCCTTGAGATTAGCACAACAGCAGTGCGCAGAGCTTCATGGAATGGGTTTCCATGGCCAAGCAGCTGCATCCAAGCCTTACATCACCAAGTGCAAGGCAAAGCATCGGATGCAGTGGTGTAAAGCATGCCGCCACTGGTTTCTAGAGCAGTGGAGACGTGTTCTCTGGAGTGAAGAGTCACGCTTCTCTTTCTGGAAATCTGGTGGACGTGTCTGGGTTTGGCGGTTGCCAGGAAAACGGTACTTGCCTGACTGCGTTGTGCCATGTGTAAAGTTTGGTGGAGGGGGATTATGGTGTGGAGTTGTTTTTCAGGGTTTGGGCTTGACCCTTTAGTCTCAGTGAAGGGAACTCCTGAAGGTGTCAGCATACCAAGACATTTTGGACAGTTTCATGCTCCCAGCTTTGTGGGATCAATCCATAAAGACATGGATAAGCAAATTTTGGGTGAAGGAACTTGACTGGCCTGCACTCATAGTCTCACATCCTGATCTCAACCCGATAGAACACCTTTGTGATGAATTAGACAGGTGCTACTAAGTTAGATTGAGTGGAGTAGAGGTGGACGTTTGAAAGGCACAGTAACAGGTCTTTGAGAGCCAGAATTCTTGCTGTTTCTTAGGTGTTCAAATACTTATGTTCAGCAGTGCAAGACAAATACATTCTTTAAAAATCATACAATGTGATTTCCTGAATTTTTTTTTAAATTCTGTCTCTCAGAGTGGGAATGCACCTACAATGTGAATTTCAGACCCCTCCATGATTTCTAAGTCGGAGAACTTGCAAAATGCAGGGTGTTCAAATACTTCTGTGTTCTGTACTCACTGTATGTGCAGTAATGCATGGTCTGCAAGGCTCCACCGTGGTTGATGTGCGCACACAGGTTTCAGGGGTGTGGAAATCTTTTAAAAAACTACTTGTTCAGGGACTAAATCTGGGTCCCAATATACCTGTCCCGCATGACAATCTACTTGTCCAGATTGAAAAAAATGTTTTCAACCAAAACAGTATTTAAATCTGAAGTGCTTTTAGGAAGGTCTGGGGCTTTATGGCGACTTAAACATTTAATTTTTTTAATATTACGCTGTATATCTCCTCCCCTCCCTGCCTGTTTCCAGCACAGCACCTGGGAACTAGCAGGAAGGAGAGAGACCTTGCAGTGTAATGAGCACTGATTGGGTGCTCCTCAGGAAAGGGGAGTGTCGGACTTATTTTTTTATCCCTTTCGCTGCCGGAGCCGGTTTTGTATTTTTTGCATGTTTAACCGCCTCCCGCCCGCCATATAGTAAAATGACGGACGCAAAGCGGTTCTGTCGTTCTGGGAGGACGTCAAATGACGTCCTCCCATTCTAACCGCACATGCGCGACTCCGGGAGCGTGCAGCGCGGCGATCACTGACAGCACGTGAGGAGGAGGAGAGCCGGTAATTGGCAATCCTCGGAGGGGACATGTACGCAGATCATCAGAGCACTGATGATCAGTGTGCCCTGATCTGTGTAGCCCCAGCTGTGCCACCTGTCAGTGCTCATCCATGCCACCTGCCAGTGTCCATCAGTGCCACATATCAGTGCCCATCTGAGCTGCCTATCAGTGCCAGTCAGTGCCACCTATCAATGCCAGTCAGTGCCGCCTATCAGTGTGCATCAGTGCTGCCTATCGGTGCTGCCTAACAGGGCCAGTTAGTGCCGCCTATCAGTGCCAGCTATCAGTGCCATATATGAGTGCTGCCTTTTAGTGCCCATCAGTAAAGCCCATCAGTGCCACCTATCAGTGTCCATTAGTGCAGCCTCATTAGCGCACATCAGTGAAGGAGAAAAATCACTTATTTACAAAATTTTATAATAAAAACTAAGAAAAAACGTTTTTGTTTTTTTTTTTAATTTTCAGTGGTTTTTGGTTTAAGAAAAAATAAAAAGCCCAGAGGTGATTAAATACCACCAAAATAAAGCTCTATCTGTCACAAAAAAGATAAAAATTTCATATGGGTACAGTGTTGCATGATCTCGCAATTGTCATTCAAAGTGTGGAAATAATGTATACGAGCGCACCTACAAATGTAATGTAGCAGCTGTACACCAGGTAACCATAAACCTAATAAGACAATAATATAAATCAAATGATGCAGCGCTGGACAAGAGGTACTATAGGTATATGAATAAATGAATATAAACAAGCAGTTCATATGGTGATATCAAGGTGACTTCAGGTGCTCTCATCTATTCCTATCCTCCAGGTGACAAGATGCTGTGCGATATAGTGCAGAAGAAATGCACACTCACCAGAACGCACAGTTAAATGAGCGTTTGTATATATATATACTGATCCCTTGAGGTCATCAGCTGGTCAAGGTGGGGTCTGGAATCCAGTGGTCTCCCTCCAGTACTACTGGGTGTTGTTATTAGGACATCAGGATGATCCCTCGGATATTAGCCTGTGGATTCCTCCTCAAATAATAGGAACGCTCCTTCACCAGCAGTGAAACGGATGGCTGTGAATTAATACTCCCCAAGGGAGTCAAAGCAGAGACATCTCCATAGTGTAGTAAATTGGTATTTTATTGTAATAAAATGAGGATAAAGATTGATGTGTAAATCAGTAAAATTGCAAGAGAAATCATGGACTGACCATCCAATGTTAAAGATGGCCGCCGGACTCCGGCGGCCATCTTTAACATTGGACGGTCAGTCCATGATTTCTCTTGCAATTTTACTGATTTACACATCAATCTTTATCCTCGTTTTATTACAATAAAATACCAATTTACTACACTATGGAGATGTCTCTGCTTTGACTCCCTTGGGGAGTATTAATTCACAGCCATCCGTTTCACTGCTGGTGAAGGAGCGTTCCTATTATTTGAGGAGGAATCCACAGGCTAATATCCGAGGGATCATCCTGATGTCCTAATAACAACACCCAGTAGTACTGGAGGGAGACCACTGGATTCCAGACCCCACCTTGACCAGCTGATGACCTCAAGGGATCAGTATATATATATATATATATATATATATATATATATATATATATATATATATATATATATATATATATATATATATATATATACAAACGCTCATTTAACTGTGCGTTCTGGTGAGTGTGCATTTCTTCTGCACTATATCGCACAGCATCTTGTCACCTGGAGGATAGGAATAGGTGAGAGCACCTGAAGTCACCTTGATATCACCATATGAACTGCTTGTTTATATTCATTTATTCATATACCTATAGTACCTCTTGTCCAGCGCTGCATCATTTGATTTACATTCAAAGTGTGACAGCGCTGAAAGCTGGATATTGGCCTGGGCAGGAAGGGAGTATAAGTGCCCTGTAGGCTAGTGGTTAAAATTTTCATTTTAGACTTGAAGATTACACACAAAACCCCAAACATTATATCTTTTTCTAAACAGAGACCCTAGAGAATAAAATAGTAGTAGTTCCAATTTTTCATGTCGCACAATATTACTGCAAAGGTCTAGGAAATGCAAAATTTCAGCAAAAAAATACACTTAATTTTAGGGCACAAAAAAAGCAAATATAAAAGATGAGGTTGCACTGAGTAAATAGATATCCAACATGTCAAACCTTAAATCTGCGTGCACTCGTGAAATGGCAAACTTCAGTACCCTATATTTTCTATAGGCGGCCCTTTTAAAGCCCTTATAGGTCATCAGTATAGTGTTACGGAGGAGGTCTTGTGCTAGAATTATTACTCTCATTCTGGCATGCACGGAGATGTGTAACTTGTGTCGCAATCTTCGTTTTTATGCGTATGCACCGCATGCGTGTGTTTTTGTACGTGTGTATTTGGGGGGGCTCACATTTTTTTTTGTTTGAGGGAATGTTATGTGCTTGGGTGTAACATTTAATTTTTTACAATTAAATAAAAATATTCTTTCACTACTTGCAATTACGCCATGCTATACAAACTCAGTTTCCCACCTCTGGTTTATTTTCCATTATTAGAGTTAATGCTTGGCACTGAGCCTCAAAAATTAATCTCCACATTATACAACATGTTCCTTACCCCCTCTGCCACAAAACGTGCATACCAGGTTAAATCTCATTGAGAGACTGATATAGATAACTTGTTTGATGAGGATTGCGGCAGGGTCTGTGATCATTATAAACTGGATCTCTCAAATTGTCACACTGCCTCACGTATTTGTTTACTTCATAGAGCCTGTCTGACCCTTGTCCGCTTGTCCAAGTTCTGACCTAACCACAGCCTGTTATATCCAATGTGCTGCATTGCTCCAGGCGCATTCTTTCATTTACTGTGGACCTGCCCTAATATTGAAGGATTCTGGGCTGAAGTAGTGAGGTTCCTTCATGATACAATGGGCTCCCTGTTAACTCTACACCCTAAACAATGCCTGTTGGAGTTATACCCAAACCCCCGATGCAGAGACATTTATAAATTTTCTATATGAGACTCTTTTTACTGCAAGAAAGCTAACATAGGGCTAGACGCAAGCTTTAACCCCTACTTTGAAATCCTGTGTGTTGGTAACACTACCTTTCCATACAAAAAGCTTATTTATAATCACAGGGGTTGCCCATCCAGATAAAATATAATTTGGGACTGCTGTTTGCAACATCCGGGTATTCTTTATTTTCCTTTATTGTATATCTTTCTATGCTTGTATTTCAATAAAACATAAATTTTTTTGATGTTTAAGTACATCTTGTAATGCTTTTGTTTTTTTCCATTATGTTTAGGAGGCCAAACTTACAGACCAACTTCCATTGATTATTGTCTGTGACCGATTTGACTTTGTCCATGATTTAGTGTTGTACCTGTATCGCAATAACCTCCAGAAGTACATTGAAATCTATGTGCAAAAGGTAAGTCATGGCAACCACTCAGGGTAGCCCTAAATGGCCCAATTTTGATGCATGATATGATACTTGGAGGACTGGGACATTTGTAGTCTCAAGTTCTAACGATAACATCAGCTTACAACACTCGCTCACAACTTGTCACACATGGAGATTTTTAAATTCAATGGAGATAGTAACCAGGCCAATCCATTCCTCTTCATAGATTATTCATATGAGATGTTTTGGTAGGCCCTGGTACTATGGACAACAAGCAAGTGTCTTTCCAGGTGTATCAGAGCATATATTGAAGAAATATTGTTTGGATCAGACAGGAGTTACATTCCCATACACATGTATGGGGACACAAATCTGCTTGAAACAGATCAAATGCAGATGAATCAGCTGCAGGCTATATACATATCCTAAATTATCTTGGAGGCACCTCAAACTGATGTCAAACTGATTTCTATCAACATCCATACAACCATCTACCAATTTCTTTTTTTTTTTGGCAGGCTTTACTGCAAGCTCAGTTTTGATAGTGTGTTTTAAAGTGTAACTAAAACGGCCTTTCCTTTGCATACAAAAGAATTTGCTTTCCTCTGTTGAATCTGCAGTTGACATGGCCCTGCACCTGTTTCTGGACTGTTTTGATTGAGAGTCAACATAAGTACATTAGTAACTGTAACAGTTATCATTCACACATCTTTAAGCGAAACTGACGTTCCGCTGTAAGAAACTGTATGAAGGCAGACGTTCATTGCAGAAGAGATATGCACTGTCTCTTCTGCAATAAAATGCCCCTACCTGTCTGCTTGCTGTCTTCTTCAGTTCTGTAAACTGGGCTGCATATACGTAGCTCAGCTTACAGTGCTGGGCATGTCTCTGAATTCCGGGATGACTATCTCCTGCACATGTGCAGAAGTTATGCCATTCCCTTTGAGCCAATGAAGAAGCCCAAAGACCGGCGATCAGAAGATGCCTGCGAAGGACCAATGGACAGGTAAGTATTCACCGTTTTGTTCTGCCTATACACTACTGTACTGGTATACACTGCATTTTAGCCCATAATGGCAGACTTGTTTGGCAAGTGATCCCCTTCAGCATTGTGCTGTCAGTGCTCCAGTAGGTCACGGGCACTTTCATCCTTACCGGTCTTCTTGCAGGTTCTGATTCTTTGTTCGGTGGATTGGGCAGACTGCGATGATGTTACTTCTGCACATGCATATGGGAGTCTCATCATGGCACAGAGCCATGCTGTAAATGTACACTGAGCTGTGTATGAACAACTCATTATACTCATGACAGGCAGAAAGGATGGTTTATGACAGCAGAGACCAATATAGGGTCTTCTCTGTCATAAAATGTCTACCTGTCACTGTCAGATTTTTTTTTTTTTTTTTTTTTTTTTTTAGATTTTTGGTTAATTCTGACCTAATATCAGTGGGTTTTCTTCTGTTTTAACAAAGAAGTATTAACGTCACAAAAAAAAAGAAATTTACCTGTTGATTGAGTTTTTGTTTATCCTAGCTTCTGGACAATAGTTCTGCAACCACACATATTGTATGTTATTGATTGTTAAATTATGCATCTTTTTTACATGAATGTAGTACTTTAATACCTTCATATTACATGAATTGTCTTCACACGTAGGTGAACCCTAGCCGTATTCCAGCAGTAGTGGGAGGTTTGCTCGATGTGGACTGTTCAGAAGATGTCATTAAGAACCTCATCATGGTTGTACATGGCCAGTTTTCAACAGATGAACTTGTGGCAGAAGTGGAAAAAAGAAACAGGTCAGTAGACAAAGTGTGTTTGATTTTGAAGAAAATGTTTCTTAGTCATACAGTGCGGCCCATATACAGTTAGGTCCATATATATTTGGGCACAGGCACAATTTTCATACTTTTGGCTCTGTATGTCACCAGAATAAATTAAAACTAAATAATCCAAATGAATTTGAAGTGCAGACTTTCTGCTTTAATTCGTTTTTATTCATGATCATTTTTAATATTTTGTTGAGAATCCTTTACTGGCAATGACTGCATGAAGTCTGGAACCCATGGAAATTACCAAAGACTGGGTTTTCTCCTTTCTAATTTTTTGCCAGGCTCTAACTGCAGCTGTCTTCAGTTCTTTGTGGGTCTTTTTGCCTTTTTAGTTTTGCCATCAGCAAGTAAAATGCATGCTCAATTGGGTTGAGATCAGGTGATTTGGCCATTGCAGAATATTTCACTACTTTTCCTTCAAAAGCTCCTGGGTTGCTTTTGCAGTGTGTTTTGGATCATTGTCCATCTGTACTGTAAAGCGCCATCCAATCAGCTTTCCTGCATTTGGCTCAATCTGGGCAGACAGTATATCTCTAAACACTGCAGAATTCATCCGGCTGCTTTTGTCTTCTCTTACATCAATAAACACCAATGACCCAGTGCCACTGGTAGCCATGCATGCCTATGCCATCACACTGCCTCCACCATGTTTTACAGAAGACGTGTGTTTTCGCCACACTTTTTTTCTTCCTGTCATTCTGGTACAGATTAATCTTCATTTCATCTGCCCAAAGAAAGCTTTTCCAGAACTGGTCTGTTTTTTTCAGATTTTTTTTGGCAAAGTCTAATCTGCCATTTCTATTCAGGCTTATAAATGGTTTGCACCTTGTGGGGAACTGTCCGAATTTGCTCTAGTGAAGTCTTCTCTTGATTGTAGACTTTGACAATGATATGCTCACCTCCTGGAGAGTGTCCTTCACTTGTCTGGGTGTTGTTAATGGGTTTTTTTCTTTACATAGTTAGTCTGGCTGAAAAAAGACAAAAGTCCATCCAGTTCAACCATATATATAAAAAAAAAAAAGTTATAATCCTAAACCCAGAGTTGATCCAGAGGAAGGCAAAAAACCCAGCAAAGCATGATCCAATTTGCTCCTGCAGGGGAAAAAAATCCTTCCTGAACCCGCAAGAAGCATTCAGATATTCCCTGGATCAACTTTTGAAGCAATCCACTGAGCTGGCCAGAATCAACTCTTGAGGGAGTCTATTCCACATTTTCACAGCTCTTACTGTGAAGAAACCTTTCCGTGTTTAGATATTAAATTCCTTTTCCTCCAGACGTAAAGAGTGCCCCCTTGTCCTCTGTGATGATCTCAAGGTGAATAAGGAGCTGTCCATGCAAGTGAAATAGGCCATTGTAAGGCTTCAAAAACAAAACAAATCCATCAGAGAGATAGCAGCATTGTTAGGAGTAGCCAAATCAACAGTTTGGTACATTCTGAGGAAAGAAGAACGCACTGGTGAGCTCAACAACATAAAAAGGCATGGAAGTCCACAGAAGACAACAGTGGTGGATGATCCCAGGATCCTCTCTATGGTAAAGAAAAACACATTCACAACATCCAGACAAGTGAAGGACACTCTCCAGGAGGTGGGGGGTATCATTGTCAAAGTCTACAATCAAGAGAAGACTTCACGAGAGCAAATGCAGAGGGTTCACCACACTGTGCAAACCATTCATAAGTCTGAAGAATAGAAAAGCCAGGTTAGACTTTGCCAAAAAAAATCTAAAAAAAAAAAACAGACCTGTTTCTGGAAAAGCATTCTTTGGACGGATGAAACTAAGATTAATCTGTACCAGAATGACGTGAAGAAAAAAGTGTGGAGAAGGCTTTGAACAGCTCATGATCCAAAGCACACAACGTCATCTGTAAAACATGGTGGAGGCAGTGTGATGGCATGGGCATGCATGGCTTCCAGTGGCACTGGGTCATTGGTGTTTATTGATGATGTGACAGAAGACAGAAGCAGCTGGATAAGTTCTGTAGTGTTTAGAGAAATCTGTCAGCCCAGATTCAGCCAAATGCAGCACAATTTGATTGGATGGCGCTGCACAGTACAGATAGACAATGATCCAAAACACACTGCAAAAGCAACCCAGGAGCTTTTGAAGGAAAAGAAGTGGAATATTCTGCAATGGCCGAGTCAATCAACTGATCTCAACCCAATGAGCATGCATTTCACTTACTGTGAATGACTTCCGGATGCTCAACAAAATATTAAAAAAATTTACATTTTATTTATTATTATATTCATTTGTCCAATTACATTTGAGCCCCTGAAACTGGAGGGACTGTGTAGAAAAATGGTTGCAGTTCCTAAAATTTGTACTTGATATCCATGTTCAAAAACCCCTTAAATTAAAGCTGAAAGTCTGCACTTTAAATTCATTTGGATTGTTTCATTTTAATTTATTCTGGTGGCATACAGAGCCAAAGGTATGTAAATTGTGCCTGTGTCCAAATTTGTATGGACCTACCTGTATCCTCTTCCTCCCCAAGGGGTCTTCAGGAAAGGGTTGAATTCTAGGAATTATACAGGCTTACCCTTAAGGCTGTATAGTTCCTAGATTTCAACCAGGTCCAGCCCTGGGTACCATCTTGGTGTGGAAATTTGGTGGCTACAAAAAGTATGTCCTCCCATCAACATTTTAGAAGTTAGAGAAATTTGGTTGTCTGTTCAATTCTTGTCCCCCTCAATTGCAAGGGCATCCTGAGGAGAATCCAGTTGGAAAATTCCATGACATGGCCTACAACCCTCAATGAGGCACCAGACGTTGTGCCATTCAAAAGGATATGGATTTGATCCTCTCTTTGGCAGAAAATGCACATTCTGTTCGTGTCTGTTCTCCACATGCCGGGCATGGAAAATTGGCAGGGGAACTTTCTCCGTTGACAGCATCTGAACCTGATGGAATGGATTCTCAATCCTAAGGTTTTTCAAACCATTAGTCACAGGTGGGAGGTGCCAGATGTTAATCTCCTGGCATCCAGATTCAAAAACAAGTTATGTAGGTTTGTTGAATGTGCTGTTGAAGACATGAGATCAGTGCAGCCTGATCTATGCTTTTCCTCCAGATTCTCCCTCGCCTGCTCTGAAGGATTGAGATGGAAGGCATTCTGGGTATTCTCATTGGTCGCTGATTCTTATGACTTGGCTTGGCTGTTGAAGCCATAGTCCCAAGAGACAGGAGTCTACTGGACTTTGTCATTCTACTTTTCTGAAGGCTAGGAAATTGACTTCTTGCAGTAGCTTGTACTTTCTCCAGCCAGGTCTGAATCCACATCTGATTTGGAGCACCATAAAAGGGGCAGTTTTGTTTCCTGGGACTTTTGGCCTCTCACCCCCAGTTAAGGCATTTGTACAAGGTGTAGCACGTATTTTTCCCCATCTGTATGCTCCCCTTTGTCTCCACTGGACCTTAATCTGGTATTCGCGAACCTTCAGTGGCGTCCTTTTGAACCTGATAGGGATTTTACTTTGACCATGCTCTCAAGGTAGCCTTTCTCATTCATATATTCATAGCATGGAGGGTCTCTGAGTTAATGGCCTTATTTTGTATGGAGCTCTTTCTAGTGTTACACAAGGACAAGATTGTCTTGAGACCCAAATCCTCCTTCCTCTCTAAGGTGGTCTCTTTCTTCCACCTAAACCAGGACATCATCCTTTCCTCTTTGTTCTGCTCCTCCAACATCGTAAGGAGCTTTCTCTCCACAGTGTTGACATGTAAGTGCCGTGAGAGTCTACCATTCATCTACTACCTCGTTTAGACAGTCGGATTCCCTCCTGGTACCTGGGGCCTACCTTCTTGTTGTTCCACCATTGAGAGATGGATCAGACAAGCTATGGGTGGTGCCTATGATCTGAGAGTTAGGGTTCCTCCCTTACCTATTCTAGTACACTCTACCCAATCTGTTAGTACATCATGTGCTTTTAAGTATCGATTTGTGAGATTTGCACGGCTGCAACCTGGGCATATATCTCTTTTAAGTGTTACCAGGTGTATGTTCATGTCTGTAGTCATTGCTGTTTTATTACATTGGCCTAATTATTGGGAAGTCAACAATCTTATTTTCATTTCTATCCAACATGTGTTCCTTTTCTGTCTGCAAATATGCATTAAAGTTAACTTTTTTGGGGGGTTGTTAGCCATAATTGTGTATAATTGCTAATCTTGTATTAGGACATTTTGATTTGTTGCCTGTTACATTGGGTTGCTGTCTTTATACTCATGTTGTCTTCTTCATATCAGGCTAAAACTACTCTTACCATGGCTGGAATCCAGAATCCATGAGGGCTGTGAGGAACCAGCGACACACAATGCTCTGGCCAAGATCTACATTGACAGCAACAACAATCCTGAACGTTTCCTGCGGGAGAATCCTTTCTATGACAGCTGTGTAGTGGGCAAATACTGTGAAAAAAGGGACCCCCATCTGGCTTGTGTAGCTTATGAGAGGGGCCAGTGTGACTTGGAGCTTATCAAGGTTGGTTCTGCTAGTAAGTTAAATATATGTCAGATGAACCGCAAAATCCTTTACTCCCATTGTGCTTTGCTTCAGCGCCGGAAATGAGACTCCTTAGTGATAGTCTCCACCACCAAGTGCACCAAAGAGTCTTACTGTAAAGCAGGACCTTAGAATCTAAGAGGTCAAGCCATGCTTGTGTATGGAATTACATACAGGATTAGTGAAAATCACCAGCCACAATGCTGCTTATAATACGGTACTGCAGTTCCTCTCCAGTATACATGTTAAAAAGAGGAAGGCTCCGAATGGTGCAGTGTAATCCAAGAGGTTTATTAAAATACACAAAATAAATGCCAAAAAGCACACAAAATACCATCATATGGTCCCACCACAAGACATCTTATGTCTTGCAGTACCATATTATGAGCAGCATTGTGGATGGTAGTTTGACTAATCGTGTATGAGGATAATTTCATACACAAACGTGGCATGACTTAGATTCTGAGGTCCAATAATTTGGTAAGACTCTTTGGTGCTCTTGGTAGTGGAGAGTTTGTCACTGAGGAGTCTCTCTTCAGGCACTGAAATAAGGCACAGCGGAGTGGAAAATTTTGCAGTTAATTTGACACATTTGTTGGGATATTACTTTCACTGAAAGTGTGGTGGAAGCTGTTTTATTTGAAGCACTGCATATATTGTTTGTTTCAAATGCACTCTATATCCGGGTGTTGTGTGTGGCTTCTAATTTGTTTCACTTTCTATGACTTTTTAATTTTTGAGATTATAATACAGAACATAGATTTATTAATATTATATTATTAGTTAAATGTTCATCTTGTCAAAAAAAACAGTGTAATGGTTGGTATTATTTAAATTAGCTTAATTGTATAGTACAGAACACAGTATGTGACTGTTTATCGCGTCATGGCTCACTAGCAGTTTCCAGATCATTTACTCTTGATGTACATCTTGGGAAATGTACCTGGACTTCATAACATCGGAGCCGACCTGTAATGTTTGCTTTGGGCACTGGATCCTGTGTTATGTGCTCACCTGGTGCAACAAATGAGTTAGCCACAGGTCACTATACGGGTCCAGGGCCATGGTCAATTCCTGACCCTGAAAAATCCTTAAGGGTATTCCCACCATGATGGGTGAATCCTGGGCTCTGAACGAGATTAGCAACATGGACAAGGTAGGAGAGGGTTTCTCTGTACCTTTTTACAAACTGATTCCTGGCATCACAAATCTTATTTTGTGGATACTACACTAGATACTACACTATATCCTTTTATCATATGTGGGATGTGGCAGTGCTAAGAATGCAAGTGGTTTGGAGGGCACAGGTTGTCTGTTGGGTAATCTAGCTTGTACAGTATATTTTTACTTTGACTATTGTCTTGTTTACGTGGCCTAGGTGAAGTTATATTGTTTACCTATTTAAAAATTGGTGGTCTTTTCTTCTGCTAGTGATGTAGTGCTCAAAAGACTTCTGAGTGCACATTTCCAGCTGCTATTTTTGCAAATGATGCAGGCTGATCTTTTGGAGTCTTGCCTATTGCCTGAAACTCCAGAGACATCACAGAAATCATCACTTATATCACTCTGCATGAGTTATTGTTGTTTGGAGCACCATTTGATGATTTAGGAACTTTTTTGAGTGAATTTTTGAAGTTGATTGTAGTTATTTTGATCACATTTACACTGACCACGAGAGTGTTTTCTATATAAGAGATTTGTGCCTTTATGAATGGGGGTTTGCTTTAAATATATGTAGTGATACACCTATAGAGTGGTTAATAGTGCACGGGTTCTGGAGTTAAAATAGGATATTAATAGGATTGGTTATTCTTTTTCACTGTTGAGGTATCAGTTTAGATTGTCAGCTGCTTCATCACATAGGTATTAACTCCATATAAGCGCAGGAGGAATTTCTATAATATCTTGGAGTCATTAACATCAACAAAAATATAAAAAAAAAATAATAACAAAGGTGTAGGAAAGTGTTCAAAAAGAAAAAAAATCAATAAATAATTTGTGAACCAAACGTAAAACCAATGGAGAGAAATAAACCATGGCAAACAATCAAGGCACAATATAGCACTCTACCCAAACAAATATCTCTAATGATACAAAAGTGCTAAAAAACAAATATAAAAAACATGTAATAAAAAGTGTGGGAAAGTGTCCAAAACTGAAATGTGTGGAAAACTGTTTTAAATCATAACCATACTCGTATCTTAAAATGATTGACATCAAATCATAAACAAAAGTGCAAAAAATATTCTGAGGTGTCCAAAAGAAAAAGTCAATAAATAATCAATAAATTGGTGAGACAATAGGGGAAATAATCAGTAAAACAATGGTGAGGTGCTCCAATCTTCAAAATTGTTTATCTTGTATGATAACCCAAGTGAAAATCCACCTCCAAAGAGATTGAATCCTCTCACCAGAGCTCCATGCTGGCAAGAAATACACTAGCTATAATCGCTTGTGCTCTGGGAGCAATACTCTGTAGCAATAGACTTCAGCTAGTGGAAAACCTCTCAATGGCAATTAATTCATCATATATTCAGAGTAGGACATGGAGGAGAAAGAAGAAGGAATCCACATAGTGTAAAACCATACAAAATCTTTCTTCATCCAAATTCATATAAAACCACTCACATTGATATGTGTCATAGCGACACTAGAATCTCACACTTAAAACATCAATGGAAGATGAAAAAAAACAGATCTATGTGTACTCAGACCGCTCCCCCATGTGTGGTGACATCACTACCAGGGCCCCACTCTACACGTCTCGTCATCCGACGTCCTATCTATAAAGAATTTTAGCATCTGTTTTGGAAAAGTTGCTTTTTCCTTTTTTTTTTTTTTTTTTTTTTTTTTCCAGTGAACTTGGAAGTAAATTATTTTCTCATATTTAGGTGTGCAATGAAAACTCTTTGTTTAAGAGTGAGGCTCGTTACCTTGTGCGAAGGAAAGATGCTGACCTGTGGGCCAATGTTCTGGAAGAAGATAATCCATTCAAGCGACAGCTAATTGACCAGGTACATTTAGTATACTAATCAACTTTTTTTACACCCCTTTTATAATACACTTACTGTTGCTAGTGTATGCATTATATTCTCTACAGCATATTCATACCTAAATTAGACCTGAAATATTGAATTTGTCTCAAGCTTAGTGGCATAAGTATATAATTGCAGAATATACTACAATTAAAGTGGTAGTAAACTCTCTAAATTTGTTTTTGCCTGCAGGTAAGCTTATAATAAAGCTTACCTGTAGGTAAAATTAATATCTCCTAAACGTGCACAATTTAGGAGATATTCCAGCGAGCAGCAGCTTGGTGATTTCACCAGCGCATGCGCTCTGAAGGAACCGCATACCTGTGCCATTCCTTCATAGCGCTGTGCTGTGGCTGTAATTCCTGCACACATGCACAGGATTAACGTCATTGCAGTTCGGCCAGACAGATGGCCAGAGCCCACGAATCGGGAAGGAAAACCGAGTGAAAATGGAAGCCCTGTCAACAGTGACAGTGCCGCTGGAGGGCTTCGTTTTAAGGTAAGTGTTTCGTAATGTGCTAGTACATAATGATATTGCCTTGCAGGGAAAAGTGGTAGCTTTACTACCACTTTATGTAGACACAGGGATGTTTCATCTCACAGAAAAAAAATAAATCAAATAACCAGCAGTAATCATAATTGTGGTTGACAATTCAAATTCCACACCTTTCTAACAGGTATCTGTTTATCTACTGAAACCTTAACAAAAATAAGGTGGAAGTCGAAAGGTGAGTGTACATGAGTGCTGTCATTTAGAGGAAGATTATTATCCTTTCACCATCCCAAATAAACTTGTTGCTTCTCAACAAATCTTAGAGCTAAAATAATGTGTTTTCAGCAACCGGGTGGCACCATGGTTACAACAAAAAACATATATCAGGTGCCACGTCCCAATTTTGAAAGTCAAGACTTTTTGGAAAAATAGAGTATGGACTTTTTAGGCAGTTAGCACCATAATCTGATAAAAAAAATATATTTATTGACAAAACTTAAAAAAAAAACAAACCATATTTAATCATCTAATGGAAAAATTCAACCATTTCACAGGTGGAATGATGATATATTTCCCCAAACATTTAGTTGAGGTACTCAGTGTTATACAGTCTTGTACATCGTCATACGGTATGATTCCTCCAACTACAGGGGGTTTCCACCTTGAATGCTAATTCCCTACATGTTTCACGACCAGAATCACTTCCTCAGGGGCTTGTGTTATGTATAAGAGACAAAAATCTATAAATAATATCCACAAGGTATTCACAATAGAAAGAATGTATACAAATATCTACTTACTAATGAGTACAGATATATACAGTGCCTTGAAAACGTTTTCATACCCCTTGACATTTTCCACGTTTTGTCATGTTAAAACCAAAAACGTAAATGTATTTTATTGGGATTTTATGTGATAGACCAACACAAAGTGGAGTGGAAAATGATAAATGGTTTTCAAAATTTGTGTACAAATAAATATCTGAAAAGTGTGGTGTGCATTTGTATTCAACCCCCCTTACTCTGATACCCCAAACTAAAATCTAGTGGAACCAATTGCCTTCAGAAGTCACCTAATTAGTAAATAGAGCCCACCTGCGTGTAATTTATATAGTAAAAAGTATAAATATAGCAGTTCTGTGAAGCCCTCAGAGGTTTGTTGGAGAACATTAGTGAACAAACAGCATCATGAAGGCCAAGGTACACACCAGACAGGTCAGTGATAGAATGGTGGAGAAGTTTAAATCAGAGTTAGGTTCTAAAAAAATATCCCAAGCTTTGAACATCTCACGGAGCACTGTTCAATCCATCATCCAAAAATGGAAAGAGTATGGTGCAACTGCAAATCTACCAAGACATGGCCGTCCACCTAAACTGACAGGCTGGGCAAGGAAAGCATTAATCAGAGAAGCAGCCAAGAGGCCCATGGTAACTGGAGGAGCTGCAGAGATCCACAGCTCAGGTGGGAGAATCTGTCCACAGGACAACTTTTAGTTGTGCACTCCACAAATCTGGCCTTTATGGAAGAGTGGCAAGAAGAAAGCCATTGTTGAAAGAAAGCCATAAGATGTCCAGTTGGTAGTTAGCGGGGAGCCATGTGGAGGACACAGGAAACATGTGGAAGAAGGTGCTCTGGTCAGATGAGACAAAAATTTAACTTTTTGGCCTAAAATCAAAATGCTGTGTGTGGTGGAAAACTAACACTGCACACCATCCCCACCATGAAACGTGGTGGCAGCATCATGTTGTGGGGATACTTTTCTTCAGCAGGGACAGGGAAGCTGGTCAGAGTTGATGGGAAGATGGATGGAGCCAAATACAGGGCAATCTTAGAAGAAAACCTGTTAGTCTACAAAAGACTTGAGACTGGGGCAGAGGTTCACCTTCCAGCAGGACAACGACCCTAAACATACAGCCAGAGCTACAATGGAATGGTTTAGATCAAAGCATATTCATGTGTTAGAATGGCCAAGTCAAAGTCCAGACCTAAATCCAATTGAGAATCTGTGGCAAGAACTGATAATTGCTGTTCAAAGACGCTCTCCATCCAATCTGACAGAGCTTGAGCTTTCTTGCAAAGAAGAATGGGCAAAAAATTCACTCTCTAGATGTGCAGAGCTGATAAGAGACATACCCATAAAGACTTGCAGCTGTAATTGCAGCGAAAGGTGGTTCTATAAAGTATTGAGAGGGGCTGAATACAAATGCACACCACACTTTTCAGATATGTATTTGTAAAAAGTTTTGAAAACCATTTATCATTTTCCTTCCACTTCACAATGATGTGCCACTTTGTGTTTGTCTGTCATATAAAATCCCAATAAAATACATTTACGTTTTTGGTTGTAACATGACAAAATGTGGAAAATGTCAAGGGGTATGAATACTCTTTCAAGGCACTGTATACACACAGTATTTAAGGTGATGACTGGAAACACCACCGATCTGGGAGCAGAACCCTCACCAAACAGTGAATGTGGGGGCACACAAACAACAACTAGCGGAGGAAAGGGCCATATTGTCAGAATTCTAATTGAATGAATAACCCAGTGAACTATAAAAGACCAGTTGTAAGACATATATACTCACTAGAATTTCACATATAGCTATCAGGCCTGCTCAGTACTTTCAAATCCTCCACATGAAAAGATTATGGCAGAAGACAATATTCTCATGTATCCTAAATCCTATAAAATAACAAAAAAAAAAAAGGGACTCCCATAAGTACCTGAAAAATGGAGGACACCCAAAGGGTAGTGGCCATGGCACAAATAAAACAATATAGAAACCTTTTACTAAGTGAGTATTCCAGTGGTCAATCTTCAGTTTGTATCTCCCACAGTATATATCCACTTGTCTGTCCATATTTACTCTGCTAGGGGAATGTACTTCTCACCAAGTGCCGAACAGCAACTGCTGAAAATGCTATGTGGTGTTCCATATGTTTGTCTGGGAATTTAGGGAACAGCAATATATTATCACGTTAAGGATTGTTGTTTTATGCATTTTCAGCAGTTGCTGTATAAAACTAAATATTCTGGGAAATATATCATCATTTCACCTGTGAATTTTTTTTATTATATGATTGAAAATATTTTTTAAAAAATTGATTTGTCAATAAATATATATATATTTTTTTTTCATTATGGTTTTAGGTGTACATGCCTAAAAAGTACATACTCTATTTTTCCAGAAATTCTTGACTTTCAAAATTGGGATGTGGTATTTTTTTTTGTTGTTATTGTAACCACGGTGCCACCTGGTGGTTGCAAACACATTATTTTAGCTCTAAGATTTGTGGATTAAACTTTGTGATTTGTAATAGTACTGCTTAGACCTTGAAGAAGGGGACATACCCCGAAAGCTTGTCCTCAAAATTGTATGTTAGTGCAAATAAAAAAAGTATCACGGACAGTACTCAATTGTTACAGTGGATATAAAAAGTCTACACACCTCTCTCAAAATGTCAGGTTTCCGTGCCATAAAAAATGAGACAAAGATAAATAATTTCAGAACTTTTTCCACCTTTAATGCGACCTATAAACTGTACAGCTCAATTGAAAAACAAACTGAAATCCTTTTTTTTTGGGGGGGGGGGGACATAAAAAACTAAAATAATGTGGTTGCATAAGTGTGCACACCCTCTTATAACCAGGGATCATTTAAAGGGCCTCTGATTAACCCCAAATAAAGTTATGCTGTTCTGGTAGGTCTTTCCTGACATTTTCTTAGTCGCATCCTACAGCAAAAGCCATGGTCGGCAGAGAGCATCCACAGCATCAGAGGGATCTCATTTTTAAAAGATATCAGTCAGGAGAAGGGTACAAAAGAATTTCCAAGGCATTAGATATACCATGTAACACAGTGAAGACAGTCATCAAGTGTAGAAAATATGGCGCAACAGCGACATTGCCAAGAACTGGACATTCCTCCAAAGTTGATGAAAAGACAAGAAGAAAACTAGTCTGGGAGGCTGCCAAGAGCTCTACAGCAATGTAAAAGGAGTTACAGGAATATCTGGCAAGTACTGGCTGTGTGGTACATGTAACAACAATTTCTCATATTCTTCATGTCAGGGCTGTGGGGTAGAGTGGCAAGAAAAACATCCAAGCCCAGATAAATTTAGCAAACACACATCTGAAGTCTACCAAAAACATGTGGGAAAATGTGTTATGGTCTGATGAAACCAAGGTTGAACTTTTTGGCCATAATTCCAAGATATGTATTTGGCGCAAAAACAACACTGCACATCACCAAAAGAACACCGTACCCACAGTGAAGCATGGTGGTGACAGCATCATGCTTTGGGGCCGTTTTTCTTCAGCTGGAACTAGGGCCTTAGAGGGAATTATGAACAGTTCCAAATACCAGTCAATATTAGCACAAAACTTTCAGGCTTCTGCTAGAAAGCTGAACATGAAGAGGAACTTCATCTATCAGCATGACAACGACCCAAAGCATACATCCAAATCAACAAGGGAATGGCCTCACCAGAAGAAAATTAAAGTTTTGGAATGGCCCAGCCAGAGCCCAGACCCGAATCCGATCTAAAATCTGTGGGGTGATCTGAAGAGGGTTGTGCACAGGAGATGTCCTCGCAATCTGACAGATTTGGAGTGTTTTTGCAAGTAAGAGTGGGCAAATATTGCCAAGTCAAGATGTGCCGTGCTGATAGACTCATACCCAAAAACACTGAGTGCTGGAATAAAATTAAAAGGTGCTTCAACAAAGTATTATTTTAAGGGTGTGCACACTTATGCAACCAAATTATTTTTAGTTTTTTATTTCTACTTCCCTCCACCTAAACGATTTCAGTTTGTTGTTCAACTGAGTTGTACAGTTTATAGGTTACATTAACCACTTTCATACAGGGCACTTTTACCCCCTTCCTACCCAGGCCAATTTTCAGGTTTCAGTGCTGTCACACTTTGAATGACAATTGCGCGGTCATACAACATGGTACCCAAACTAAAATTTTATCATTTTCTTCACACAACTAGAGCTTTCTTTTGGTGGTATTTAATCACCACTGGGGCTTTTATTTTTTGCTAAATTAACAAAAAAAGACAAAATTGTTTGGAAAAAAACCCCCACATTTTTTTTGTTTCTGTTATAAAAGTTTGCAAATAAATAATTGTTCCTCATAAATTAAGGCCAAGATGTATTCTACTACATTTCTTTGGTGAAAATAACCCAAATTAGTATTTATTATTTAGTCTGTAGGAAAGTTATAGAGTTCACAAACTATGGGATCGATCTGAATATTGATCAGTCCTGAAGTACTGACAGCTAATCTAATTTCTTGAGGTCCAAGAATGTCAGAACAGTACAGATATCCCCCAAATGACCCCTTTTTGCAAAGTAGACAGTCCAATGTATTTCATAACAGGCATGGAGTTTTTTGAAATTGTATTTTTTTGTCATAATTTTTCAGAAAATTAAAAAATTAAGAAAATTAGTTTCACTATTTTTTTTTTTACATATTGTCACCAGTGCAGTACAGCGTCATCATATAACTGGCATGGCGGTGATCAGGGACATTGACTGGTGACAGTATGAAAAAAAAAAATTATATATTTTTTTTATCTATTTTTTTTTTTTCTTTATTTTAAGATTTCATAACAGGCATGGCGAGTTTTTTGAAGTTGTAATTTTTTTGTAATTTTTCGGAAAATTAAGAAATTTTAAAAAAAATGATTTTCACTATTTTTTTTTTTTTTTTTTACATACGGTCACCAGTGCAGTACAGCGTCACCATAAAACTGGCATGGTGGTGATCAGGGACACTGACTGGTGACAGTACAAAAAAAAATGTTATTTTTTTTATTTTTTAGTAATTTTTTTCTCTTTTTTTTTTAAGATTTTTTTTTCATATTTCACTATGACCAAAGTAGTATAATGTTACCATAGTAACATTGTACTACTTTGGGGAAGTGATCGGTATTTGTGTTTTTTGTTTTTTTTTTACACAATTTGCTTATAGCAAAGAATTACTTTGCTATAAGGAAGCATTTACCTAAATGAAATCGATTCATTCAGGGTTTTTTTTTTTTTTGTAATTAGCTGTGATTTGGCCACTGCTAATCACATGACACAGCTGGGCTGTGATTGGCCCAGCTTGTGCATGTGATCACTGTGACCATTCACACAGCTAGACACACTTGTATACAATGGATGGCATGAAAAGAAGCCATCCATTGTATACAACTGTCATGTGACCTGCTGTGATTGGTCACATGGTACTGGCAACATTTTAACAGGGGTGTGTAGACTTTTTATATCCACTGTAAGATTTTTTGAGAAGCACCAAGTTTATTTGAGATGGTGAAAGGGTAATAATCTTCCTCTAAATGACACTCATTTTTGTCATTTTATGGGTATTGTTTCATGTAGCAGTCTTAAGGATTTGTGTACAGTATGGGAACAGTTTGTCCTATGCACAGAAAATCAGGTTACATTAACCAGTTGCAGACTCTGTACGTGTCAGACATGCCCAGAAAAATGGCATCATTGTACACAGGGCATGTGTAACAAGTCCAGTCCTGCCAGGATCTCCCCTGTCCCAGTACTGGGCAATTCAGCTCTGATTAATCAAAGTGATGAAAAGTTCTGACACCTGGAGCCTGGCAATGGTTACCAACAACATTGCTCAAAAGAAACAATGTTTCATTCTGAATCTGTTCATTCATCTATAGATCAAGGGGGTGAACTATCTGCAGGTGAAGTCAGTTAAAGCAACTCGACAAGTAAAAAAAAAAGTTAGTTTTTTTTTTCAATAATAAATGTTCCTCTATTTAACACCTTATTAACCCTTAGTTTATTCCAATCAACCAATTAAATCTTTATTCTCCTTTTCCATTCAATTATTATTTTCCTGCTGATTTTTTGTTTCTTTTTCATAAACTAATAATATTCAAGCGCAAAATTGAAAAAAAAAAAACAAACCACTTTATTTCATTTGTAAATACCCTTGCAATGCTTTGCACCAGAATCATATTTTTAGTGTCATTTTAAACAGGACAAATTACAAAATAAAATGTGCACTTTTTATGTGCAGTAACACTATTTATTTTTAAACTATCACTGCTCAAAAGAAGAGAGTGCATTTTGTTTTGTTTAATTGTTTAAGGATTGAAAGAATAAAAAAATCATTGTTGCAAGACAATTATGAAAAGAGAGCCTTGTTTGATTGTATTACATTTTTATCTTAAAGCGCGCACCCGCCCCCCGAAAAAAAAAAAAAAAAAATCAGCAGCTACAAATACTGTAGCTGCTGACTTTTAATATTAGGGCACTACTTACTTGTCCAGGGATCCAGCGGTGTCCTTACCTTGAGCCAGTTCTTCAGTTGGCTGTCAGGTGTTCGCACCGCCATCTTGAGTAAGGGAAAAACCAACAGTGAAGCCTTGCGGCTGCACAGCCAGTATCCTACTGTGCATGCACGAAGGGTGATGCGCTTTGTGATTGGGCCTCAGTCATCTGGGACCTGTAAATTGTCTCACTGCTGCGAACTGGGCCGGAAGTGGGAGCAGTTACCTGTTAACCTGTTAAAACCAGTTACCAGCTTGCCCCCCCCCCCCCCCCCCCAAAGGTGTCAAATGTGGCAGCAGGGGGGGGAGGAGTCAGATAAGCAGAGCTTCCACTTTTTCGTGGAACTCTGCTTTAAGTAATGACAAAGTTATCACTGAATAAATAAGGCCATAACAGAAATGTAAAAATTGCTAGTCAGTAGGGGGTGAACAGGTGTGAGAGGTCAAGTGGTTAAGATGACAGACCCTGTATGTGTACTTGGTAAATTGTTTTGGACAGCTTCAGTAGTTTGGCTGTATTTTTTTTCCCCACAAAGGTGGTGCAGACTGCTCTATCAGAGACACAGGATCCAGAAGAAGTGTCAGTGACTGTGAAAGCATTTATGACTGCTGATCTCCCTAATGAACTCATTGAGCTTCTTGAGAAGATAGTTTTGGACAACTCCGTGTTCAGTGAGCACAGGTCAGATGGGGAGGTAATAGAATTCTAGTAAAAGAATAGAAACAATGGTGGGTGGCATGGAAGGGCTAAAATCTGGTTGTTTGTAATGATGCAACTGATGTCTGTTAAGTGACTGTTTGCTTTCAGGAACCTGCAGAATCTATTGATACTAACTGCCATCAAGGCTGACCGTACACGTGTAATGGAGTATATCAACCGCTTAGATAACTATGATGCGCCAGACATTGCTAACATTGCCATCAGCAACCAGCTTTTTGAGGAGGCCTTTGCTATCTTTAGGAAGTTTGATGTTAACACATCTGCCATACAGGTGAAGGAAATTAATCGGTCATTTCTAAAAAAAAAAAAAAAAAAAAAAAAGGCTTTTAAAAGTGTTATAAATATTGTAAAATCTATCTTTTTTTTTTTTTTTATGGTTGTTTCTCCTGTACATTTCATCTTGCAGGTCTTGATTGAGCACATCGGCAATCTGGACCGTGCATATGAATTTGCAGAAAGATGCAATGAGCCAGCAGTTTGGAGTCAGCTGGGTAGAGCACAGCTGCAGAAAGACTTGGTCAAGGAAGCTATTGACTCCTACATTAAAGCCGATGACCCCTCCTCTTATATGGAAGTGGTGCAGGCAGCAAGTAAGAATGGTGAGTGTTGGTTACTATTGACAGTTGCTCCAGATTATATCTGCTCTGGTTTGATTTAGATCCACACATTGGCTAACATACAAAGATAGCATAGCTCCTTTTTTTCCACTGTTATAGGTTTGCACTTTAAAGCTGCTGTAAAACACCCTGTTTACATAAATATTTACATATGTGGATAAGATTATCATTTGGGTACAAATAGAGATGTCTGACCATAAATTAAAGGAAATAGAACACAAATTAGAGGAATACTTATTGGTACTTTAAAAAGAAGAAATCCATTTTTATAAAATTCAATTACCAAAGTAATTGCAGTAGCTAATAGAAAGTAAGACCATACTGCAGCATATTATGTTTGAACGGGTACAAGATAACCATAATTTAGATAAGATAGTAAATTTATGGGTGAATAATAGAATATAAACTTAAAAAAAAAAATGTAACACATTTTGATCAAATTATGTGTTTTTTTTTAGTTTGTGAACAAGTATAACCTTTATCGTTTTTATGGTTTTGTTTTCCATACAGAATAGTATTCAGATCAGTATGCATGCCAGTGGCATGTTACCTGCAAGATCAGTCTTTCTTATTGATTTTCTCGTTTGCTTTGCCTAAATTACGGGCTGTGGCAACTAGTGACATTTCTGAAAGAAGTAACCTAAATTTGTACATTTCACAGGTAACTGGGAGGACTTGGTAAAATTCTTACAGATGGCAAGAAAGAAAGCTAGGGAATCATATGTAGAGACGGAGTTGATATTTGCTTTGGCAAAAACAAATCGCCTCTCAGAGCTGGAGGAATTTGTCAGCAGCCCCAATAACGCCCATATCCAGCAGGTCCTATGTTTAATATTTATTTATATATCATTTTTGTTTTGTCTTTGTGTGTTTTACTTTCCTGCCTTTTACAAATTTTAGGTGGGAGATCGTTGTTATGAAGAGGGCATGTATGACGCTGCTAAACTTCTTTACAACAATGTGTCAAATTTTGCCCGGTTGGCATCCACACTGGTACACCTTGGCGAGTACCAAGCTGCTGTGGACAGTGCACGAAAGGCTAACAGTACCCGCACCTGGAAAGAGGCAAGTGAATCCTAATCTCAGGAGCACTGAATGTTGAAGCATTTGTGAATCTCTTTTAGTATCACTTTTATAATATCTGTGTGTGTGTATATGTATGTATATTTATTATTTGTATTCCTATTTTTAAGGTCTGTTTTGCATGTGTGGATGGTACAGAATTCCGATTAGCACAGATGTGTGGCCTGCACATTGTGATCCATGCTGATGAACTAGAGGAGTTGATCAGTTATTATCAGGTGGGTTTGAAACCAGTTCTTGTTTGAAGCATAATTTTATGATGCTATTTGCCTATTATTGATACTACAAGAAGGTTCCCTATCTAGTTCAAGAAGGTCTTTGCTAAGCCCCATTTTCATTCTAGATGGTTATGTAACGATCTAGTCACAATAAAGGTTTGTAATAAGTTATTTGTGATTTCTTTTTTTTTATCCTGTTGTCTTTAAAGGACCGGGGCTATTTTGAGGAGCTAATTGCACTTCTAGAAGCAGCCCTGGGTTTGGAACGTGCACACATGGGTATGTTCACAGAGCTGGCTATTCTGTACTCCAAGTTCAAGCCTCAGAAAATGCGGGAGCATTTGGAGTTATTCTGGTCCCGAGTCAACATCCCCAAGGTAAGAATTGGATACATTTTTTTTGTAAACTATTGATACTCATAATTACCAAATTTGGCCAGCAGAGGACCATTGTTTATGGAACTTGATAAAGCTGCTTTTAAAAACTTCCTGAATCATCTCATTCCTGTCATCAGTATTTTTAAATTAATCTGCATACAAACTGGTGTGTCAAAATATTCTTGTTTTGTGCAGCCTTTCTGGACAGCTATATTTGCTAATATGTGTGTTGTATGCTCTTTTAGGTTTTGCGTGCTGCAGAGCAGGCCCATTTATGGGGTGAACTAGTGTTCTTATATGATAAATATGAAGAATATGATAATGCAATTCTCACAATGATGAGTTATCCCACCACTGCCTGGAAAGAGGGACAGTTTAAGGATATTGTAACTAAGGTATTTGTTTATCTAATATGTTTTCCTAGTTTGGGCATAAGTTAAAAAAAACCCTAAAAAACAGCATACAGTGATTGTTCTTTATGGTTACAGGTTGCCAATGTAGAGCTGTATTACAAAGCCCTGCAGTTCTATCTGGAGTACAAACCTTTGCTCATTAATGACCTTCTCTTGGTCTTATCCCCACGTTTGGACCACACACGAACTGTCAGCTATTTTTCTAAGGTAGTATATTCTGTGTTTTTATAATGTCACATTTATCTTACATTTATTTATATTTATGTACAACTCTGCAGATCTTATGCCCGTTTCCTTGAGTTATCTGTATGTTAAGAGAATCCTTAGAACTGTTGCATTGTGGCCTAATAGCGCTTCATCCAAGCTTCTCTATACACATACAGCAAACATTAGCTTGTACATTTTCCACTGTTTTTAGGACACAAAGTATATTTTTTGCAGTATCATGTTTTGCTAAACTCTGATCTTTCCTTTAGATGAACCAGTTACCTCTTGTTAAGCCGTACTTGCGTTCAGTTCAAAATCATAACAATAAATCTGTGAATGAAGCCCTCAACAACCTGCTGACAGAGGAGGAGGATTATCAGGTAACAAAGTAATTAGAATCGATGAAATAATTGCAGAACTTAATACTATACCTTCCTGTGTTATCAATTATTGCAAACTACTTTCTTGTCATACTTTCTACAAGGGATATTTGCAAAATTAACACTTTTGTGACCAATGTTCATTGATGCCTACATGTCTAGACTACATTTAGCAGCATCCACATGTATCGGAATTTTAAAAAAAAAAGTGCTCAGATAACATAAAACAGTACCCCACCATCACTTCTTTGGAGGCACCTCTTTCTGCAGAGAAGTTTGGTGAAGTCCTGTCTCAAACACATTGGGGAAAAGCGCCCCAGAAGGGTATTCTATTCTCTATTACAAGACTTTTTGGTCTCTCCTCTTCTCACACTTTATCGCAGCCTACAATAATGTAGGCACCGGTGCGTCTTTTCCAGAGGATACGCTCCGGACCCAGATCACTGTGATCACTAAGGAGGGGAAGGAGCCACTTCTTTACCAAAATTATAGACCTATCTCTCTTTTAAATAACGACCTTAAATTGTTCACTAAAATTCTTGTGATGACACTGCTGCTGAGTCGGTTCCAAACCTAATGCATTCTAATCAAGTGGGCTTCATACCCTCAAGAGAGGCAAGAGATAACACCACTAAAGCCCTGGCTCTAATTCATGCTGTCCACTCTCAGAAAATATGTTGCTCCTCTCCACTGACGCTGAAAAAGCGTTTGAAAGAGTGAACTGGTTCTTCTTGACAGAAACCCTTTGTCATATTGGCATATAGCAGTGAAAGATGCACTGGCTATGTGCAATCTACTCCCACCCTTCTGCGCAAGTGATGATTAATGGCCAGCTCTCATCTCCTTTCTGAATCAACAATGGGACTAGACAGGGCTGTCTGCTCTCTCCATTGATTTGATGCTGACCCTGGAACCTTTTTTGCGTAAGATTAGGGGCAGTCCAGACATTACCTGCCTAGATCTGGGTTCTTTTCTTTCCCCCAGAGTTGCAGCCTATGCAGAAAACTTTTTTTTTTTTTGTCGAACCCTTTGATCTCATTGCCGAGTCTTATGACAGAACTGAAAACCTTTGAGTCCTTGTCACTGTTCCACATCAATTATCAAAAGTCAGAAGCTTCTTTTGCTGCCCTTCCTAAAACTAACTTTCCTTTTAAGTGGGCTTCCTCCCACATTACATATTTGGGCATCTATCTTCCCAAGACATTGGCAGATACATTTGGGCTAAATTTCCCACCGCTTCTCATGTCCATTAAGAAAGATCTAGTGGCTTGGCAAACTGGCACAGTAGCACCATCAAAATGAACATTATGCCCCACCTACTTTTCCCACTGCTAGTTCACATTCTGAACTCCTTTCTGTTGAAGCAGTTAATAGAGTATCCAACAACTTCCTGTGGTCACAGAAACCCCCACGACTTCCTCAGGCTATACTACGACTCCCGAAATTGCAAAGGAGTACGGCATTAACAGATGTGAATCTCTATCACACTGCTTGCCATATAACTAGTGCTCTGGACCATGAAACAATGGGTGCTATAGGAGCAAGCCATGTCGGGAGTGCCACTGAATATTCTGCCATGGTGTCGTTCATATCTTCCTGATACTGTGCACACTCACTCTACGGTTGGAGAAACGTGGCATATTTGTACCAAGGTGTTCAAAACCTCCACACTTTTGCCGGATCCCTCGCCACTCTTTTTCCCATAGTAGGGAACCCTGCTTTTCATCCAGAGTTGTGTGATCCCAGATTTGAAGTTTTAAAGATTAATGGCCTTTTCTAGGTCCGACATTTTATCTCACCCAGATGCTGGATTTCAAGACAGCAAATTTTCAAAGACCTGGTGTACTTGGGGCTCTCTTTTTGGCATAAGATCCAGCTTACACATTTCCTCCACTCTTTACCCCCAGTGGAGGGTTGCTGCTGCCACCTTACATTTCGAAATTCTGTGTACAGAGAGATCACCGCTATACGACATGCAATTTCACAGGTTTTTCGCCTTTTTCTCTCCTCACCATCAAACTTCAGACTGTCTTACATCTCCAAATGGGAAGAGGACCTAGAGATCACTTTTATGAACAAACAGGTAGAGAGAATTCTCCTGTTTACTTACAAAACTCCTCCATTGGCTCCAGGTACCAAGAATCTGGTTTCAAGCTACTGGCGAGATTGTCTTCTACGTCCATTGGGATCCAAAAAAAAGGATCCCTCAGGGTTTGAACATTTGCTGGCAATGTGGAGAGGAACCTGGTTCTCTCCTTCATATATTCTGGTCATGTCTCTCACTCCAGACCTTTTGATCAGAAATCCACCGTATCATCTGAAAATTCACCGATCAAATGTTACCGTGATTTTATTATTTTTTTTATATAGTGCATCTGTATTTGACTAAAGGTGACTGTGTTCATCTGCAGGCAGTTAATGGAGCCTTTAGCTTGTATTTGGTTGCTATGTCATAGCTGGCATAATGTTTGCATAATCTGGAACCACTCTGATTGATTCCCCATTCATCAGTGGGTAGGACCCCACCTGTCATTGGTACCCTGTGACGGAGGTGTGGGTAGAACAGAACATATGTGGAGAGCAGTGGGACACACAAGGTTTTTATTGAGTGATTTGGAGGGCACACGAGGAGTATAGCAAGGTTCTGGCAAAACAACTGTTAAGTCCGTACCACAGGGTGGGACACACGATAAGGATCACCGAGTTCTGGTAGGCAACATGGGGGGATAGCCCGTAGCACCATCTGGGTTCACAACAGGGAGGCAGACTGGCAGGCAATGGGTTAAGTCTGAGTAGCACACAATAGGGAGCAGTCTCTGGCAGGTTAAGGGTTCATGTACAATGCAGCTGATAAACTCACATTCAGGAGCTTTTCTGCTGTGTTTGAGTTTTTTTTTTTTAGCAGCCCCTGAACTCTCCCTAATGTTTTCCTATGTGTCAGGTACACATAATTGTTTAGAGTCTTTTTTTTTTTAGCGCACCAAACTTGCGTTCAGGAGTAGATTTTATCAGCATTTCAAACGCTTGTAAACGCGGCTAACAGCATTTATAAGCGTTTGTGTTTCGAAGCATTTTTTAACTGTTCCATATCCAGATGCTGTCCAGAGCCTTTTTTCATCATCAGAAATGCATGCAAAGTGTTTTCCATGTATTCAAATAGCACACAACAGGTGGCAGACTGGCAGGCAATGAGTTAAATCCGAATGGCACACAACAGGGTGGCAGACTGGCAGGCAATGGGTTAAGTTCAAGTGGCTCACAACAGGGAGCAGTCTCTGGCAGGCAATGGGTTAAGTCCGAGTGGTACACAACAGGGAGCAGTCTCTGGCAGGCACACAACAGGGAGCAGAACTCGGGCAGGCAAGGATTAAGTCCACGTTGGATCCTCAGCACAGGGGGTGGCACACAGCAGACAGGCAGAACTCTGGCAGGGCAAGGATTAAGTCCAGGTTGGGTCCTCAACACAGGGGGTGGCACCCAGCAGGCAGAGCCTTGGTAAGTCTTTGGCACAGGGTAGCAATTGAGGGACTCACCCGCCAGAAGTGGCCACAGCAGAGGAAGTCTAGGCAGATAGGCACCAACTCCTGACAGCTTCAAGACCATACAAGCAATGTAGAACCACAAGTTTTAGCAGTGCACAAAGCAAAGCACAGTTCAATGCATCTCCTTATTGAGACCTTCAGCCATGAGATGCTCTGTCCATCCTGACAAGCTCTGCTCATTCTCCCCCCATGGGGGCATTATTTGACCAAGCCCCAAACCCCCCATGCCAACACATCTGGCTTTTCACAGCCACAGGACACCATACTGTCTGTGCTCCCTGCGGAGATCAATTTCATCTTCTACCCCGTGCTGGGCAGAGGAACTTCAAATTTTAACAAAGCAGACAAGCTGACTAATGGACACACGTTAATTTCAACAAATAACACCAAAATAAAATAATATTTCTGATCTCCGTCACATACCCAGTATTAAGAGCAAATAGATCTTCAAAGTTTCAGCTGCTAGCCCTTAAATGGGAACAAGTATACTAACATATGAGTGCCAAGGAACATTAATATACAGATTACAGGCGAGCGTTAATTCAGTCCTTGTATTCACATATCATGACTATGGAAAACAAGATCTTTATGTTAATGTACCCAAAAACACAAACTGTTAGACTAAATCTGATTACTACTTGTGATGAAGATCCCAAATGCTTAGAAGAGTTTAGGACTTCATGCCTGTGAAATTCAATTGTTTAAAACTGAACTCCAGGCAGATATGAGCAACACATATGAATACATCTTAGAGGTTTATTAATAAATGATTCATTGTATTTTAATAAATGCAGCCAGTGTACAGTAAATGCTTTAATTTTGCCTGGTGTCAGCCTCTTGCAATCTCCTATATAGTGCAAAAGCGGGGGAGCACCAGGAGCCAGTCAGGTGTGTTGCATGCAAATGTTCTGACAGGGTACATGCTGATAGTAGCAGAAAGCAGAGTGAGTAGACAACAGAGTGAGCAGGTTTATGACTTTATCATTTTGTTGCTGCTTCTTTCTCAATATCCAGTCAGCAGGCTAGAGGTACAGAGAGGACACCTCTGTTTTCTTTCTATAGTCTTTCTACTGTATAGTCTAACATTGGAAGTGGATTCATCCACTTGTGTCTGTACAGTGTTGCAGGGCTGTGTAAAGCTCAGGAATACAAATACTTGGGCCGGTAAAATTGCTTCCTTTTATATTATTTCATCTGTGTATATTAACTGATTGACTGGAGTTCAGCCATAAAGAGCTAAGATGTGAAAATGTTATTGCAGTGCATTAAAAATGCAGCCACACTGCCATTATAATTAACTGTACATCATGCTTGACATTTCCTCTGTCAGGCCTGTAAAGGAAAAAAGAATCCTCTTGGAAAAACTGACATCATAATTATTTTAATCCTGTTCTATATGGCTTTGCCATTCTGTCAGCACTTTGGTTACACTCATACATAGTTACACTATTCTGTATTGGAATTGGATATTTACTGATACCACCCTTTTTGCATTTTTCTGGTTTCAGAAATCAGTTGTGTGAAAAATCAGAATGTATTAAATACTGAAAACTGTAGATATGCTCTTTTGAACTCTAAAGGTAAATGCTTGTCTGTCCATAGGGCTTAAGGGCATCTATTGATGCTTATGATAACTTTGATAACATCAGCTTGGCACAGCGTCTGGAGAAACATGAGCTAATTGAGTTCCGTCGAATTGCAGCCTATCTATACAAGGGTAATAACCGATGGAAGCAGAGTGTGGAGCTATGCAAAAAGGACCGCTTATACAAGGTAATATAATAGGTATTTCAGATCATATTGAACACATTAAAAACACTTGTCCATGAAATATTAAAAATAGAGTGTAGCAATTTTTCTTGACATAACCATAAAGTAGCATCCTTGTTGCTTACAGCTATTGTACAGTATATACAAATTGTTACTATATATATGTTATATATATTAGTTCTAGATTAGAGTAGTAAATTAGTAAAGATTGATTTTACTTCCTTGGCCCCCTGCACCTGTGTTTTCTTTGGTAAAATACTCCCTGCATGGTTTTAAAGTAATGAGTATACGGTTTATTGGTTTGGGGTTTTAACTTTCTGAACTGGGTTTTCACTTGTCAGCTGTTACATATTTTTTTTTTCACAGGATGCCATGTTGTATGCTGCAGAGTCAAAAGACACTGAGCTAGCAGAGAATCTGCTTCAATGGTTTCTGGAGGAGGGAAAACGTGAATGCTTTGCAGCCACTCTCTTCACTTGCTATGATCTTCTGCATCCAGACATTGTGTTAGAGCTGGCCTGGAGGCACAACATTATGGAATTTGCCATGCCTTACTTTATTCAGGTCATGCGAGAGTACTTGTCCAAGGTGTGTATACTCTATACAGTGATATGCAGTCTAACCAGTAAAAATTATGGCTTTAGAGACTGTACAAAAACAAAAGGTGTACCACTAAATTTCATGTTTAGAATGTGAGGTATGGTGCACTGAATGCCTTAGACTTGGTAGCAGACGTATCTTCAGCATTTGTCAGATTATGTTTTTAAACGAAAGTAAAGTTTTCTGGGAAAAATTTTAATTCACCATTTTTTTTGTGTGTGGAGAAGGGTTAGAACCCTCCCAAAGCTTATTAGAGTGTCTTCATTTGGGAGTTTTTTCCATTGCTTTCTGTTTCCGTGACAGGGTGTCATAGAGGGTTAGGAATGACGGAAGGGTTAGAAAAAATAATAAAGGTTTAACCACCTCAATACCCACGTTTATATACAGCCTTGTATTTAGTTGGTTATACCAGGATCATGGTTGCAGCTACAACCATGATCCTGGTACCATTCTTTTCACTAAGCTATTCTCTTTCAGGTAAAATTGATCGAGCAGCTATACAGCCACTCAGTCACTTTTGCAGGCGGTGGAAGATGGTCCCTGCCGCTGACTGCTGCCTTTTCTGGGCTCTCCCATCCCACTGGGAAGCCTTTTACCAATGTGACCGGTGAAATCGGATGCAGCGCACAGAGCGAAAGGAACCTTTATAGTTCCTCCCACTCAGTGATGTCAGAAACCAGTTGTGACGAGGATTTTGTCACTACTTGTTTCTGTTTGTTTGTTTACAAGCCTGTACCTGATTGTAAAGCATATGATCAAACCAATCTTGGTTTGATCAGACGCTTTTGAGGGCAGAGGAAAGATTTGGGGTTTATTAGACCCCATATCTCTACATAAAGAGGAATGATCACAAGGGATGTTGTTCACCCCTTGTGATAGCAATAAAATGTATTGAAAAAACAAAATAAAGGTGCAGTGTTTAAAAAAAAAAAAAAAAAAAAAATACAATTACATAAAATAATAATAAAAAAATGTTTAAAGTGTCCCCCGTCATCCCTTGCACACTTGCAAATTAGAACATGTACATAGGTCCCACACGCATATGTGTTATGGGTTAGATTAGAAGCATTTATGGCTACCCATACTATGACTTTCCCGGTTAACAACACAGGTGTATAATGACAATGAGGAAGAGGAACAACAAAGTACATCATGTGAAGAGTGATGTAGTTGGTAGCTGTAGTGTACTTTATTTCAGCATTATTTATTATGCAACCACATGTGTTTAGAAAGGATGAATAGGATTTTTGTAGTGTAAAATCCTCTTCATGAAGTCTGTTAAGGGACACAAGATATCTTTCATGTTTGGATATTTTGCTGCCTACAGAAGGATTGCACACTGGCAAACCCAAAAACCCAAGACAACAGCTCCCCTTGCCAGCACTCCTCTGTTTTGTAACAGTGCAGTACTGAGAGTGCAGTCATAAATAAAGGGGACTGGAACCTCAGTGAACTCCAAGAAAAGGATTTTACTGTAAGTACCCAAATTTTGTTTCTTTATTGTCCATTGAGGAACTTAGCAATTCTTAGATTTCTTGGACTGTCTGGTTATACTGCCCATACAGAAGAAATTGTCAGTGGCAAAGAAAAAAAAAAAGTCAACTAGATAACCATGCCTTAAGTTGTGATGCCTCAGTTTTTTTCTTCAGCTCTGAAGATTTTTCTTTCTGCTATCAATATCTGCTGGTAGGTTGATACCGGATATACTATTTGAAATCCTGATAGTATATCTCGTAAGCCAATGGCATTGGCGTATTCAGGCTGGATAAATTGAATCCTTGTGGGCTTCTTCAACTAGCTAAGAAGAAATGATGCACTTACGCTGGAGATTCATAGCAGATGTATGAAATTCTGGATTCTCTTTGCTATGGACCAGAGTTGATGTAATCGCATATGTGTCCCAGTTACCATTCGACTCTATTCAGATCAGGCCAGTTTCTGGGGATTCCTTGCTTTATATTATGTGTCAGGTGATTTTCCTTTTCTTAACTGAATCTTCTTGCTTGTCTGCTTCGCAGGATTTATATAGAAAGCATTTTGGTGTTTTATTGCTCCAGACTGGCCCAGGCAGATATGGTATGTCTACCTGGAAACATTGTGAAGGTTTTCTGTCTCGAAAACTGTTTTCCTGTCCTGTTTCACAACCAGAGGCAATTCAGCATTGTATTTCCCTGACACTAAGGACTCGTTCATAGACGTGTGAATCGTTTCGTTCCGAATATAATTTCAGACATAAAGTTTTGTTATTTGACAATTCAGATGTATCCGAATCTTCAAATAGCAACAGTAACAAATTTCAATGAAGCCGAAATAAATTATGTTTGAAGCATCCGAAATAATGAATGATGCGAGTCATGGCTGTTAAGGATGCAGTGGCTGGCTGCTCCTTAACAACAGCTAATAACACCTGTCAATATTGTGTTGGACCAGTTCATTTCTGGAATTCATTTCGTATCTTCCTCATTAGCTGATTTTTCTCCAGATCTCTTTTCCCCCCCCACCAGGCACTGTTGCTAAAATTACAGGATGTTAATTGAGAGACAGATCTTTGACAAGAAAGTCCCTTTCACCTAATGTGTTCCCAGGACTCCTCCCCAGCCTTCAAGAGTGCATGTGCTGTGAGGTTTTTCCAAAAGGTGGGATGAAGGACATCCCCTATTCCGGAACTGGATTTCTGAGTCACCAAACCAGGGATAACTTGGTTCTTAGTGCCAGACAAATAAGTCTGTATAGGGACTTGATTGGCTAGTCCCACAGTAACAGAATGTTGGGTTGTAGAGGTCTGAAGTGAAAATGTCAGGCCCAAAACTCTTGCAAAAGTGGAGAGCTGGATGACTTGTGCACTAGAGAACTCAAATTTTGCGATTACATCCTGAAGTCTCTCCTGTAGAAGAAACAATCTGACCTGAGCTGTGTCTAGGGCTAGATCCAGATACTTCAAAAACTGAATTGATTCCAGTGACAATTTCAATACATATAAGATCCCAGTGAATCACTGTAACCTCTGGACAGTCAGGACCAGTTTGGTGACAGAGCCGCATTGACTGTTCCCTTAACAGGAGGCCACCTGAATATCCCACAGTAGGAATGCCACATAAGCACAATAGTACTAATACTGGGGCCAGCATCTTCGGGAACATCCAAGGTGCAGATAAAAAGTTGAAGACCAGGAAAATGTTGATGCACTGCGAAAATGGGAAGATGCAGGTATGCATCCCTAATGTCCACAGAATCCAGAAGCTCTCCCTGGTAAAGAGTAGCAATGACAGACCTGGTGGATTCTGTTCAAAATTGCTGCACCCAAATGAAGACATTCAGAGCTTTGAAAAAAAAAGATGGGGTGGATGCCCCTTTTGGATTTGGCAAAAGTGAGCAGAATAGCACAGCCCACCGATGAGAGAGTTCTAGACAGTTTCAAACCACCTATCACTTGGGTTCTTAAAGAAAGGTATGTCTTCCTATTCTGGAACAGTAAGTGCCATTTTAGGCAGGTCACTGTCGTTTCTACAGTGTGGAAAAGGCCACTTTTGTACAAAACCCTCCTTAGATGGGTACAAGGTCAATAAGCTCATGCTTGGGAACAAAAGTCTTGTAAGGTGTTTCCAATTGTTCTTAAATTTGGTAGTGATAGCAGTTGACTGCGACTCCTCGGGGCAAACTCATCTGTTAAAGACGGGAGTGATTCAGAATTGGGGAGAGTCTCTGTGACTCATGCAGAAGATGCCAAACCCACAGCTAAATCAGATGGAAAAGCGGTTTCCGAGCCTCAGTCCTTAAGTACACCCAATAGACAATGTTTTAGAAGTTTCCCTTAGATAAATAGCTGTCTTAAATACCAAGCCATGACTATGGTTGCCACCTCACCCATTTAAAACTGAACGCATAATAAATACACAGGTTCTGTGGTTAAAGTGGTAATTAAACTCACCTAGTACCTTATCTGCATTAAATTAGCCTCAGAAACTGTGTAATTAATGTGTTCGGGTTTAAAGGGATGAGGTGGCAACCCTAGTCATGGCAATGATTTTAAGCACCTGTGCAAGGTGAGGGAAATCCTGAAAACATGACCTGTTTGGGCATACTTGAAGAGGAACTAAACTGTATGTAAATGCCACAAACTGTAAATGCTATTTAATTAATTTTTTACACTCAAAGCAAACTCGCCCATTCCTCCATGTCTCCATTTTTTATTTGGTTAATAAATTACTTTGAAAAACTGCCACATAGTATTTCTAACCTCAGCCATATTGAGTAAGGGCAGATGGTTCATGTAGCATTTGTCTCCTTCAATCCATTTGCCCTTAGCTGAGACATGCAGTCAGAAAGCCTAGGCGATCGCAGCGGAAGTGGGAGTAGGTGCCTGTCGAATTCTGGTTCCCCCCCACTTCCCTAAGGTGCCAATCCTGAACGGGGAACAAAGCCTTAAAGCGGAACTTCCCCTTTTGGATGGAGCTACACTTTTAACCCCCTGATGACTGCAGGTCATCTTGGCTGGGTGCCCCTTCCAGAAAAAGTAGCCACAATACTAAACAGTCTCCATTTATTTGTCTAATTTTTCGACAGATGGATGCCTGATAAACACTTTGAGATTGCTTTGTATCCCTTTCCAGCTTCATGTCTAACGGCAGACTGGGTCTTGCCTTGGAGGTTAAAGCCTGGGAGTAACAAAAGAAACTCTTACTGGCCTCAGAGGAGGAGTGGCCTAGGCTTTTTTGCTGGGATTAATGAGTTCTCTTTCTCCCCATAGCTTCCTTTTTTAGGCTGTCCAAAATATTTTCCGAAGAGATTCATTCAGGAAACCAGATGTGCAATGTCAACCAGACAATCTACACAATAGTGTAGGCCTGTAGACATAAGCCATAAGTGCTCCATAAATGGAGGATTAGTGTGAATAGAAGCTGAATTCTAGAATTTAGAATCCAGACTGACACACTAACCTTACAGCTATGGCAGGTTGCAGTCTATCTAAATATTTGTCAGTGGGATATACACTGATGCATGCTTGACAGGAATGGTCAGTGCTTTAAGGTTGAGCACCACTGCATCTAAGGCTATATCAGATAGTGATTCAGGAGTAGAGGGCATCGATATATGCA